GTCCATCTCGGACTCCGTCTCGGTCCACCTCGGACTCCACTTCGGGTCCATCTCGGACTCCATCTCGGACACTTCCACATGTCATATGTTGGTCCTTTTTGGGTCCCTTTTTGGAGCCTTGCTTATTGCTCGCTTCGTGCTCGCTCCTTGAGCACTTTGTTGGGAGTTCCACTCCCGCTCTCGACCTTCCAAGTCAGAACTTTTAGTCCAAATGTGTTACACTCGTTTGGGCTTTCGCTTCGGCCACTACCACATGGCACCCTTTCCGGCTCCACTTTGGGGCCTAGGGATTTTGTGTCTCACAAGACCTTCAAAGGGATGATTATGAAGTATGTGAACTTTTAACATTTGGATTGGGAGCCACAAGTTGTTGATGCTAGGTCTTGGGATTAATATTTGACAAGCATTCTTCCATTGGTTTGAGTAAAGTAGGCCACATAAAGTGGGACAATAATGGCATTATAACTTCTATTATCATCTATTTATAGAGTATAAAGTGAATGATTTAGTGTTAATCTATTTTCCCAATCTTATAGTTTGTGATTTGTCTAAAATGTTTCTTGCTCAATGGAAGGGACTGTATTGAGTGTTGTGGCAAGTTGGACTGCAAGTTTATAAGGTTTAGCATGACAAACAATAAGTTGATCCTCTAGAAATTATGCATATACAACAACTAAAATGTTTCATACAAAAGAATCATGAATAATTAGCACCATTTACAAATTCACCGATGCCTCCTCTTAATATTCCTCCAGATCCCAACTGTCCACTAGAGAACCTTAACTATCTTCCATCATTCCGAGAGGAAGGGATGATATGAGGTCCAAGTGTATAGCTACAATATTGTAAACTATTATTAACGTAGTGAAATTTTGATAATCGTTGAATTGGTTTCAATTTAAACCACTCACTCATGTTATATGCTAGGGTTTTTTGGCTAATTGATACACACACACACACACACACATTCAATCTCTCTAAGTAACATAATAACAACAAAGTATTTTATTTTAATATTAATGTTCTAATATATATTGATACCAATGTTAGGATCCTATCCCTTACACCCTCAGCCAATTGGCTAAAAGGGTGATCACTTGATTGCAAGGCTCTTTCTTTATCTTATTATCCTGACCTGGTGCCTCGTCAGAGAATGATCGTCCACGATCATATTTAGGCCACCCTCTGGTTACCATCGTCCTTCTCTTAGGGTCTACCAAACCTTGGTTCTCCCTCTAGATCCACCATGTTGAATATTTTTTTAGAATATTCTTGCCCCACTCATCAACCACGAGAATCGAACTGGGCTTCGATACTAATGTTAGAATCCTATCCTTTACACCCTTTAGCCAGTTGGCTTAGGGTGTAAAGGATAGGATCCTAACATTATAATTATAAATAATAATTCTTATATTAATTTAGATATAACAATAAGTTTAAATTATCTTTATGTTGTTCTAGAAAAAATATAAATGATATTGTGAGTGCATGGAATATGGAAAGGGAATACAAAAATATGCATATCAATTAGCCCAAAAACCCTAGCTTATATACAGGAGCGAGTGGTCCGGATTGAAACCAATCTGACGGCTACCAAAATCCCACTACACTAATATTAACAGTCTTAGAAATATCTTCTTCAGCCATCGGTACTTGCCAGTACCCAGAAGCAAGATCTAGCTTGGTGAATCAATGACTTCACCCCAAACGATCTAAGAGATCAGCAATGTGAGGAAGAGGGTACACATCCAGAATCGTTACGTCGTTTAACGGACGAAAATCGATGCAGAAATGAATACTTCTATCAGGTTTCGTCACAAGATGAGGTTCACATGCCCAAGGACTCCGCGACTTCCGAATAACACCCTTTTCCAACATCTCCTTGACATTTGCATGTAAAATCTTGATCTCCTTTAGTGACCGACGACGAATAGGAACCTTGATTGGACAAACATCCCCAGTTGAAATCGGATGACGTGTGGCAATCTTGGCTCCAAACGATAGGTCAAAGTCAAAGAGATCAGAATACTCCTTCATAAGCCGGTCAATTGCTGCAACACAAAGATCATCGGAGGGATCAAAAAAGGGAAGAGCAAAACAAGATGGAAACACAAGAGGAAATAGTGGGGGAATAAAAGTAATGGAAGTAGAGGTAGAAGTAGAGGGACGAAGAGGTACAGAAGTGAGAGGAATGGATGAAACATAAGGAAGTATGAGATAAAGGGGAGAAGCCTCAAAGTCACAATTGGCATGATTGCGCTGCAACTAATCCATACCAAGAATGAGGTTAAAAGCTTGACTCGGCACCACCCGCAACGACTACAACTCAAGCTCAAGATCGCCCACATGCACAACCAGGTCTGCCTCATCCCGTGCACATGCATATGTACGGCCGTTGCCATAAAGAATGAAAATTGGTTCTATTGCACGACACAAGTGTAGACGACAACGTGTGGCAACAAGTCGAGCAATAGAAGATAAACTCAAACTTATATCAACCAACATGGAGAGAATAATAGAAGACTTCTTGTTATAAAGACGAGTTTGGAAAGTAAACACTGGATAAACTGGTGCCAAGTGAATGTAAGTGACTAATTTTTCCATTCTACTTTAGTCACTTAACCACACCTTTGACCACTTAGAGGAGTCTCATTCACAACCTCCTGAAGTCCAATTCAGGACTTGGGACTTGCTAGTCCCGAGGATGGCATCTATGCCACTCATCCCTTGCACTTAGTCCAAGTGCTCCACGTGTCTGGTCTCAAGACCGACACCCAAAGGTACCACTGACATATCGGCCCGTTATGCTAAGGCCATGCCCATTCACCTTTGCTGCACTAGTGGTCCAATACCACTTGCATCACAATCCTGTCTCTCCAAGATTGGGCCAACCATCCGTGAGTGGTCATCCCAGATCCACTCCTTAGCATCCTTAGGATGCCTACCGACAAGGGCAATAGCCTTCCTGAATATCCCTCTGTCAGTCCCCACTAGGTCCCTTTTTGCCCTTGGCCGTGTTTGGCAACACTGCCATTGGATCGAGGCCCACAGGCCTGACCACTAAGTCCTATGGTCCTCTGGGACTTCCTCACCACATGACCGTATCCTTGGCCACCACACTAAAGGACTGCTCCTTTCCTTTCCATAGTCTGGGACTTAAGGACAACACTTCGGAACACCGTGGCCTTACGTGAGCCACCTGGGTACTCTCCCCGCCTTCTGCCTTTGGGTGCTCTAGCCATGGGCTTAGAGTGAGGTTCTGTTGAGCCATGCCTAGTATCCAAGTAGGTAGTGCCACCCACACTTGGACTGGGAGCATCGGCCAGTCGATCTCCCGGGGGAACTAGAGCCGGCTCTTGAACACTTCACCAAGCTACCCCGCTTGTCGGTCCGTATTCACTCTAGTCTTGGACTTCCCAGTGGTCAGTTCATCACCCAACACTGGGTCTGGCCTTCCTGGGCCAAACTGGCCTTTCCTGGCCAAACTAGCTCCACTGCAGTCCTCCCCCTTATTATACTTTTGGAGCTCACCAAACCCCCTAGGGTCTGGGAGACAAACGCTTTGGGCTTTCACCCTCTCAGACTCGAACTCGGACTCAGACTCGGACTCGGACTCGGACTCGGACTCAGACTCAGGCTCGGTCTTGGCCTCCGCCTCAGTCTCGGTCTTGGTCCCGGTCTCGGTCTCGGTCTCGGTCCCGGTCTCAGTCTCGACCTCGGACTCCATCTCGGGTCCTTCTCGGACTCCATCTCGGTCCATCTCGGACTCCGTCTTGGACTCTGTCTCGAACTCCATCTCGGACTCCATCTCGGACTCCGTCTCGGTCCATCTCGGACTCCATCTCGGACTCCACTTCGGACTCCATCTCGGACTCCACTTCGGACTCCATCTCGGACTCCATCTCGGACTCCACCTCGGACTCCACCTCGGACTCCATCTTGGACTCCGTCTCAGTCCATCTCGGACTCCATCTCGGACTCCACCTTGGACTCCACCTCGGACTCCATCTCGGACTCCACCTCGGACTCCATCTCGGACTCCAACTCGGGTCCATCTCGGACTCTATCTTAGACACTTCCACATGTCATGTGTTGGTCCTTTTGCGTCCCTTTTTGGAGTCTCACTTATTGCTCGCTTCGTGCTTGTTCTTCGAGCACTTTGTTGGGAGTTCCACTCTCGCTCTCGACCTTCCAAGTCGGAGCTTTTAGTCCAAATGTGTTACACTCGTTTGGCTTTCGCTTCGGCCACTACTATGTGGCACCCTTTCCAGTCCACTTTGGGGCCAAGGGATTTTGTATCTCATAGTGAACCCCTTGATAATATTCCCAAAAGAAAGATGGAGGGGTCACTGATTTATTTGCGCAAGGTCCCTCCGTTATTTGCGCAACTCCTCGTTTCCCGGATGCATCTCAGTGTTCAAACCTTCCACTATAGCAGCACCAACGGGACATTGCTAACACCAAGGTCTCCACCCAAGAAATGGAGGTTGCCAATCCGGAAAACACTGATAACACCGATAAGTATAACCAACTTCATCACATCCCCAGCAGCAAACATCACGGCCACGACCACGTCCTCGCCCTTGGCCTTGGACTCAAGCAGCAGGAGCATCAACCTCCATTAGAACAAGACCATCACCCACAGGAAGTGGAGCTGAAGGACATGCAATGAGAAGTGGAAGAGGCAACATTTCATAACGTTGTGCCAAGCGAAGAGCATCGTTAAAGGTGGCGGGAGCAAATGCATGCACAAGTCTAACAAGATCTTGACGAAGTGCTGGCCACAACATTCCTAGCTTGATCCACTCCGATATATTTGGCTTCGCACGAAACAAAAGACTTCAGAAATGAATGCCAAATTTCATCACCAACTCAGATGGCCCTTGGCAAAAACGATGTAATTGTTAAAAGGCATCATCATAATCGTCGGCATGTCCAAAAAATCATATCTTTATAATTGTGCTCTGTTACTAGGGTTTAGTTAGGGCTTGTATGGGAAATGGCGGAGATGCTGCTCCAGACGCTCGCCTCGCAGGTGAGGGCCGCGCACACATTCGATGATCACGGCGGCGGCGGCGGTGCGGCGGTGACTGCTGCTGCTCTGCCGCCGCCGCCGCTCCTCCCATCGGTCCAGGTATGCACGCTGCTCAAGATGAATCTCCAGATGCTCGCGGCGCAGGGGCTGGCATTGCATCCCTCGGCTGCATTGCGGCTGCTGGAGACAGGATCGCCGTTCTCGAATCTTCGCCTCCACCCCTGTCAGGCGATCACAAGCTCCGTGGCGGCGACCTATGTGTATTTCCTCCAGCACGGGTGCGAGAAGGTCGCTGTGGAGTCGGCGCTGTGCCTGAAAAGGGAGATAGAAACTTTGAGCAGGAGCTTGGCGGGGAAGAAGGGGGCGATGGGGCTTGTGGAAGCCGAGGTGGTTTCCCTTCTCAAGTTTGATCTCTTGCTCCTGCTGATGAGCGTGAGAGCAAATGCCGCGGAGTCACAGGTCCAGAAGGTGAAAAGCATCATCAACTTCGTTCTCGAGAAGTCTGATCCTTTTGAAGCTCCCGTTCGCTGGCACTCGGAGCTCCAGTTAGCGGTGGTCCAGGCCTTGCGGAGAGTTTTCTCCTGGATAGTTCCTTGGGAGGTTGATGCCGAGGGAGCCATGGAGTTCTTCGGGAAATGCAGTGTGGCTATGGCTCGTGGCTTGGAGAAAGGGGTGGCGAGCTTAACCGTGAGGATAGAGGTGCTGGAATGGGTCGGCGAGTTTCCAAAGTGGTTTAGGAAGCTGGAAGGTATGACTCTTCTCAGCAGCAGCTTGTTCGTGGCTTTAGTGGCTGCTGCTTCCGACGAGGAGCACACAGTGAGGCTGCAAGCTTCTAAGACTTTCGGTGCTCTTCTTCGCCACAAGTGCTTGAGCTCTTCTCAGCTTTACTCCGTGGCGAGTGCGGCGTTCGAGCAGCTTGGGGATCCCGACCCGGGCATCCAAGCTGCGTTTCGCGAAGTCCTCGCGACGTGCGCCTTGGGTGCGCTGTGGGTGCACGGATGGAACTCGGATTTAGATGCGAAGGAAGAGGGGAACTTCGTTACTAAGAGGCCGCTTGAACGTGAAAAACACTGGAGATCGGTTCTATCAGCGAACCGTTTCGCGCTACAATTGAGCCCGCCACAGGTGGTTTGCATCCTGAATTATATATCTCAGCGTCCACAGAGCTTGCCAGCGGGGTGGCAGCAGCGTCTGGTTTTCAACTGCTTGAAGACCAAAAGTGCCGACGACAAGAAGCAGGGTGATGGACTGGATAGAAAGGAAGATTTTAGTGTTGTGGAGGACGCTGCCCGTTTTGATCTGGTGGAGAGCTGGTGCTGTAGTAGCAACATGGCTGCTGCTTGGTTCATTATCCAGGAGCTAGCTCGTCACTGCATCACTGTGAGGTTTCGTACTCACCTTGGAGGACCAACGCAGACATTCGCAGCTCTCGAGCGAATGCTGCTGGATCTTCCCCAGCTTGTACAGTCGGAATCGTCAGCAGCCAACACGTCAGAGCTGCTACCAATGAGACTCCTTTTGGAGCTGGTTGATAGCTTACAGAGGAACATCTATAACGCCTACGAAGGCTCACTAGTTTTGGAGGCCCCGTCCTTCTCCAGCGGCCTCTTCTTCCGTGCCAACAAGAAGGTTTGCGAGGAATGGTTTGCCAGAATCCGGGAAGCCTTGGTGAACGCTAGCAGCGTGATACAGTGTCACTTTGGGACGGCCCAGCACGCTCTCTTTCGGCTGCATGACTTGAGGCCGATGGCACTAGCTGCGCTGCGGGACTTGCCGCGTAGTCAAGCTGCTGACGGCGGCCTGAGCTTGAAGGTGAAGCTCCAACAGGACGTTTTCCGTGTGCTTCGTCATGGATCTCTAGCACTATGCAAGCTGCACGAGAGCGACTCCATACTTGGACTTCAAGCGTGGGCAGTGACGGCGTTCGCTGGGTTGATCCTTGAGGACGTTCACAAAGTTAGCTCTCCGCTGGGGCCGGTCGGGTGGATGAACGGATTGGCTTTTGAGGCGAGAGGAGAGTTTGAGAGAGCTGCAGCACATTACTCGCAGCTCTTCCAGTCCGAAGAAACTTTATCTGTTCTAGGCGCGGACGGAGTGCAGTTTATCATCGGCAGGATTGTGGAAAGCTACGTCTCGCTCTCGGACTGGGAAGCTCTAGAAGGCTGGCTCCAGGAGCTGCAGGTTTTGCGTGCAAAGCATGCAGGAAAGTCGTACACGGGAGCCCTGACGACTGCCGGTATCGACATGAACTCGATACACGCACTGTCCCGTTTCGACGCTTCTGACATGGAAGGGACTTGGGGATATTTGGACTTGACACCTCAGAGCAACAACGAGATTACTATCGATCCTCGTCAGGCACTCCAGAGAAGCGAGCAGATGCTGTTACAGGCCATGCTGAGGAAGGATAGTGAAGTAGAAGATGCCGCTCGGGAGGTGAAGCTTGCTAGAGCTATGCTGGACGGACCGTTGCTGGTATCTTCGCTCGACGACCTCAGTGACGCTGCTCCGTATTTGACACAGCTTCACTGCATTGAAGTCGTGGAGTCTTGGAAGGGGCCGTCTGAACGCCAGGAAGGGATACAGGATATCTCGCTGAAGTATTTCAACCATCCTGCGGACGAAGTGTACCAAGACTGCCACTTATGGTTGAAGGTGTTACGTGTTTACAAGACGGTCTTTCCTCACGCGGGCGTCACTTCGACGTTGCGACGGCAGTTAATCCGATTGGCGAGAAAGCATGGCAACTTCCGACTTGCTCGGAGGATGCTGAAAGAAATGGATGGCGAGAACTGGGATTCAAAGGTAGCGGCTTACGAGAACTCCTTGCTTCACTTTTCCGAGGGCCAGCATGCAAAAGCCATGACGGAGCTGTGGCCGCTGGTTAAGAACTTCATTGCCGAAAGCGAACGGGCACTTCCATTCGAAGGTGATGTTATGGCTGCAACGTCGTGCTTAAAACTTGGTTCCTGGCTACAAAAGAGGCGAACGGAGAATGATTTTGCCGGGTTGCTGTCGGAGATGGACCTGACCAGTGGATCTGGTGGCATGATTTTGGAGGAAGTCGCTGGCGCAGCAGTGAAAGCGGCAACGCTCCATTGTCCGTCTTTTGGAAAGGCCTGGTTTTCTTATGCTTCCTGGTGCTACTCACTCGCAAGGTGCGGTTTTTTCGGCAATGAGACGCTGTCAAAGGCTAGCATCTTTCCGCAAGTACTGGAGAAAGAGCTGATTTCAAGTTCACCTTCCTTAACAGACGAGGAAATGATGAAAATTCAGGCGATGATAAAATCTCTTGGTAGTGAACTAGAGGACGCCATCTTGGAAATGCTGGTGAAGCGGGTAGTATTTTTGCTGGAAGCGGCAGCAAGGGAAGCAGGCTTTGAAAAATGGGATGGAGAGTCTCTCAGTTTGCAGCTGCGCCAGGAACTACAGGTTCTCAAGCCGAGCAGCGTCCCGGGCCTTATAAATGAGCTCCTACAAGTTTGGTGGGGTGTTCGAAAGAGAAGAATATCCCTGTTTGGGTACGCTGCTCACGGGTTTCTGAAGTACATGAGCTTGTCGAATCGAACCACCGTGAGATCCAACCCGCTGAAACAAGACTCGACGCTGAGCGCTTCGTTGTTTGTGCTAAATATCCTTCAGACTTGTGGAGTGGAGCTTGAAGATATACTTCAGCAGGGACTGTCCTCTATACCGCCATCTCCATGGAAGGTAGGACTTTTTTCTCTTCGTTTTTTGGTTCTTCTTATATTTTTTTTCCTTTTCTTTCTTGTTTGCTGCATTGTAGGAAATCACGCCTCAACTTTTTGCATGCGTAAGCAGTCATCCAGAGGCTAAAGTGAGGAAGCAGCTCGAGGGACTGCTAATGAGCCTTGCGAACGTGTATCCGTGGGCTATAGTTTATCCGACACTTGTACATTTTAATGCCTCAGAGGGCCAATCGTCCGAGGAGTTGGAACGCATCTTGAACTCTCTGGTAAGATTTTTACAGTTGTTGCCATTTCTAACTTGTTTAATTTCTTTTACAGTCAAAGTTGCATCCGAAAGTAGTGAATGACGTGCGGTTGATGATAGCTGAGCTCGGATCAATAACGTTTCTTTGGGAGGAGCAATGGCTGACTACGCTTCAGGATCTTCATGCAGGTAAAATATTTGCTACACGATTAAATGATTTCCCTTTAAAATGGCTTGTGTATTTTTTTTAGATGTGACTCGTCGAATCATCACTTTGAAAGAAGAGGCTGCAAGAATAGCTGAAAATCAGACTCTTAGCCCCGACGAGAAGACAAAGATAAACGCAGCAAAGTATGCAGCAATCATGGCTCCAGTATCGTATGCATTGGAGCGACGACTCACTCTTACATCGAGACCAGCAGAAACGCCACATGAAGTCTGGTTCCAAGAACACTTTGGTGGCCAACTCAGAGCTGCAATCACAACGTTTAAGACGCCTCCGGGTGGAAACATTACTCTAAATGACGTCTGGAAGCCATTTGACGCCATCGCAGCATCCTTATCAAATCATCACAAAAGGTCGGCCGTGGTTTTGCAAGACGTATCTCCACGCCTCGCTGCCTTGACGCACTCAGATGCGCCAATGCCAGGCCTTGAGTTCCCAGATGCGGACTTAGTAACGGTGGCAAACTTCAACGACCAGATTACTATCCTGGCAACGAAAACAAAGCCAAAGAAGGTCTCTGTGACGGGATCAGATGGTCAAGTTTACAACTATCTGCTCAAAGGAAGGGAGGACCTTAGGCTGGATGCGAGGATCATGCAGCTACTTCGCGCTTCAAACAAGATGCTACGGGCGTCTAGTGCTACGAGACGTGAAGGCTTGGCTGTGAAGTGCTACTCCGTGACGCCGATAAGTGGTCGTGCCGGCTTAATTCAGTGGGTTGACAATGTGACGAGCCTGTACTCGGTTTACAAGGCTTGGCAGCTTCGGCAACAGGCAGCACAGCTCTCATCGAATGCTGTCTCAGGTGCTCCTCCACCTCTGCCACGCCCCAGCGACATGTTCTACGGGAAGATCATTCCAGCTTTGAAAGAGAAGGGACTGCGAAAAGTCATATCCCGGAGAGACTGGCCACAGGATGTCAAAAGGAAAGTCTTGCTGGATCTTATGAAAGAGACACCGAGGCAGCTACTATACCGAGAGCTTTGGTGCGCAAGCGATGGATTAAAAGGATTGAACAAAAAAATTAAGAGGTCTGTGATGCTCGAATCATTTGATAATGGACTAACTTGTGACTTTTTTGTTAGATTCTCCGGCAGCGTTGCGGTTATGAGTGTGATTGGACACGTTCTTGGCTTAGGCGATCGTCACCTAGACAACATCCTAATTGATTTTAGCTCCGGAGACGTGGTGCATATCGACTACAATATCTGTTTTGAAAAGGGTCGGAGGCTGAAAGTTCCCGAGATCGTTCCATTTCGACTGACACAGACTATCCAGAATGCGCTTGGGCCTACTGGTGTGGAAGGCTTCTTTCGAGCTAGCTGCGAAGCTGTTCTGAGCGTTCTACAGAAGAACAAAGAAGTGATACTTATGCTGCTGGAGGCATTTGTATGGGATCCTTTGGTGGAATGGATGAGGGGAGATGGTCACGATGAGGCCACGATTGGAGGTGAAGAACGTAAAGGCATGGAACTTGCTGTGAGCCTCAGCTTATTTGCTTCGCACGTTCAGGAGAATCGTGTTGCACTTCAGGTAAGAGTTCACATTTTCTTTCATGAAAGGATTTTACTGAAACAAGATGCATTGTAGGAACACCATGATCAGCTACTGCGGACACTCCCCACAATCCCCTCTACTCTTCAGGTAAGTTTTATTTATATATTTTACTAATTTGAATCGCTTCCCCAATCTTATGTGCAGAGCTGGGCGGCTGGATACGAAAACTTTGAAAGATGCTCGACTCTTGCCTACCATATAAACCAGAAAAAATATGCTGCTGAGAACGCGGAGGTCGCTGCTAGGAACCTTTTAGCTGAAGCCTCTGGTTCTCTAGAGAAGACACACGTGACATACGAGATACAGGCTCGCGAGTTCGCCCAGTCCAAAGCACGTACTGCAGAGGCAGCTAGAGAAACCACACAGTGGATTGAGCAGCGCAGCAGAGTTCTCGATTCTCTCCGAACGGACACAGCTCCAGAACTCCAGGCACTGGGACAACGGACTCATTCGACAGAGGCTGTTTCCTTGCTACAAGCAATAGTTGCGTCCGGAGTAGCTTTGACAGTCCTACCCGAGCCGACACAAGTCCACTTCAGAGAGGTTGACAGGGACATTTCGCAGTTCACATCAGCGCGGCACGAAGCTTTGCTGCATGCCCGAGCAACTCTGCAAGCCTATGCTGTAGCGTTGCAGAGGCTTCTGCCAGGGAACTATTATACAACGAGCTACGTACATAGCTGGGCGAAGATACTCCAGTTGCTAAGCATGCAAGTCACTCCGGAGGTGCTGGGCGTGACCAAACGGCAAGCAATAGACATTACTGCGGGAGGACGTGGAGATCACGACGATGTTATCTGCCAGAAACACGAGAAACTGAGGTCACACGTTGAGCTTCTCGGCGAAGAAGTCCAGAAGCTAGAGCAGGGACGTCTACAACTTGAAGAATCAGTGGATCCGGATGCGGAGAAAAGAGCCAAGGACAAACTCATGGGGATTTTTCTTCGTAGCCTCCAGCAGGGAAAGAAAGATGAGGATGACGCGGGTTTATACGATTTCGAGGAAAGGCGGCTCAAAGTTATTTTGGTTCTTCAGTCTGCTGCATCAACTATTTACAGTGAGATTGGGAATCATGCGGCTAATCTTCAAGGTGTTGGAATGGAGGAGTCCATACGAAGGTGGTGCTTTCCAGAGCTCGAGGGACTAGTTGAGAGGGCTGTCCTCGTCTCGGACGTATTGAACGAGCTTCAACAGTTCAGTGGGAAGGCTACTGGATATCGTGCGAATCCGTGGGACTCAAACTCGAGTTTTACTGCAGAGTTGAAGGGATTTACAGACTGTCTTGCTGGTATTGATCACCTCGTGAAGCAGATGATAGGCGTGGTGCTTCCAGAGGCTGTCAAGGCTGCTCTTTCACAGGATCCAGCCGTCATGGACGCGTTCGCATCTTTATCCCAGATACGAGGAGCTATTGACACAACTCTTGAGAAGGTGGCGGAGATAGAGATGCAGAAGTCGGCTTTGTTAGAACTCGAGAGAACTTATCCTGACAGGCTGGAAGAGCTTGTGAAGCGGAAAACATTCCTGGAAGAGGCAGCTGCTGGTGGCAAGGATGATCTTTCCTGGGAAGAGGCTGAGGAGCTTGCAAGTCAGGAAGACCTCTGCCGAGAGCAACTGGAGACGTTGCAAAAGGCTTGGTCTCAACGCAGTGCACAGGCTTCAGCTGTGTTAAGAATGGAAGGACTCGTGCGATCAGCCTTAGCGTCCGCAGACCAACGTTTCGAGGCACTAGTAGCACTGGACAGGGATGATCTTCACTTGATGAGGGGAAAGGTTCTCTTGGCAGCTTTTGCGAAGCTGTTCTCTGGGCTTGAGTCGCTGGATGCCGCTCTGAGAAGAGTTCCAGTTGCGAAGACAATGCAGGTTGAGTCTCCTGGGCTTGAATACATTTGGAGAGCGTCAAACGTCCTCCAAAAGAAGACTTTCTTCGTGTGGAAGGTCTACGTGATGGACATTCTACTGGACTCATGCGTTCGTGACGCTTCCAACGATTTGAGCTTGAGTTTGGATCAAGTTATAAGCCAGCACAAAAGGCGACTAGAGGCTCAACTTCAGGGCGTGCTGGACTTATATCTGAGAGAACGCGTCTCGCCAGCCTTTCTGGACATTATTTTGAAGGAGGCTACCATCTCGAGTTTTGCTGACAATTCCGACAGTTCTAGAGAGGGGGAGGCTGCAAAGAAAGCTGTGAAGCTACTTCGAGAATACTGTGATGTCCACGAAACAGTCCGAGCGGCAAAGTCTGCAGCATTTGCTCTGAAGATACAGGCGGACGAAGCAAAACAGAGCCTCCAAAATGCTCAGATCGAGATTGCTCAGATGGAGTGGCTTCATGAGACCGTTTTGCTACCTCGCGTCCAGTTCGTTGCCATGCCATCTGGGCCTTATCCTGAGAAGTCGACGAGCATTCGGTGGTGGAGTAGAAAGCAGATATTGGACAACATACGAAACTCGATAGCTGCTATCTCGAGAGCTACTGAGGGCTTGCAGAAAGCGGAGCGGGCAAGTGTGTCCGCTGAAGAGCAGCTAGAAAGGACGATGGCATGGGCTTCTAATCGTGCAGGTACTTCTCAGGAATTCCGTGAACGTCTTCAAAGAAGGCAGCAACTTCTCTGGACTGGTCAAGAGCACGCCACGAGTACCGTGAGACTTTGTGTTACAGTTTTGGAGTTTGAAGCTTCTCGCGAAGGCTACCTGGAGTCAAGCTCGAGTAGCTCATCTAGCGACGGGAAATCCTGGCAGCAGTCTTACCAGAGCTTGATCTTGCGGCTGGAGGCTGCCTACATTGCGTTTACTAGTAAGTTCATCAGTATTATCCTGAATTCTTATTACTTGGAGCGGTTGTTTATACAGGTTGTGACATGGAATGGAAAGCCGCTCAAAAAGCGTTGGAAGCCGCGAGTGCCAATCTATCTGGTGTACTAAGAGAGCGCCAACTTGTATCTAGCGAATCCGAGTCGAGTGGAGGTTAGTATCTGCTTCATAGTTTGTCTCTCTCAGATCACTGTGCAGCTGAACTACAATCGATATTCTTACAACTAAGACAACTCACTCTTGAAGCTGCCGGGGCTGTGAATGCATTTTGCAAGGTTGTGCGAAGTCATTCAGCTCTTACCTCCGAAGGTGCCGTCATGCTTGATGAGGCAAGTATTTTTAAAAGTTGGTTCATTGGTGCTAGTTAATTCACCATTCTCAAAACCAGGTGCTGGCATTGACGGAAGGAGCGGATGGAGTGAGTGATGTGCATTCCCTCGCGAAAGAAGCTATCACAGAAAGGCAGAGCCTAATAAGTGATCTTAAGAAGGTGTGGTCGGATCGGGTGATATTTGCCAGGTTTTGTGCTGATTTATTTGTGTCAGGTGCATGCTGCTGTGGCACCTTTGGAGTTGTTGCTTTCATCAACAGCAAACGCCATGAGCGCCGACCTGGATGTCAAGGCGGTCATCAAGTCGGGGCAATCGCCTACGTTGCAATCTTTGGATTTAAAGATCAAGGAGTCTCTCGCAGATTTGCCTCTGCACGTCTCCAGCGTTCTCGATGCCGCACAAAAGCTGCACTCGGCTCTTACTAGCTTGGGGCGTACTGCAAGTGTAGACGCCGGTACTCTTAACAAGGCAAGTCCAAACGTTTCTTAATGCGTGTCTTTCTCTAATGAGCACCTTTTTTCTTGTGTAGGCCTTTGAAGGTATGGACGAAAGTCCACCGGTATCGGTTTCCACTGAGGATGTTTTCCCGTCTCAACAAAGCAACCTTCAACCTGTGGCGAATCCGCTCGTTGAAAAGGATGTGCTGGAGGACGATGACTCGTGGATATCCCCGCCGGGTACACAGTCCGGGGACTCGGACTACAGTGTTCAAGAGTCGACATCAACACAGGACCATGAGGTGCAGCAAAGAAGCCAGGCTGAGAACGTCTCTGTGATTAAAGCATTGGCAGCTGAGGCGATTGAAGGCCAGACACGGGCGAAGGCTGGAGTGTCACAGCATTCTTTGTCCTCTGAGTGTGACAAGTTACACAGTGGAGAAGCTGCAAGGCCCGGAAACGACCAGAAGCAGCACACCTTGAAAGGAAACTCTAGCAACGCTTTGTCTGCAAATGTGGATCATCAGTCGCGAGTAGTGAGAGGTATGTTTTTGTGGTTTGTGCACAAGCTAGAAATTGATTAGCTTCTGTTTGCAGGGACTGCTGTAAACGTTTTGAAACGCGTCCGAACTAAGCTTGAAGGACGTGACATAGATGAGACCGGGTAAGGCTCTCTTGCGTGAGCTAAGATAGTTAAGTTTTGGCTGTTTTCCAAACAGGCAGCTGAGCATTGCCGATCAGGTGGACCATCTCCTTCGACAGGCGATGAGCATTGACAACCTTTGTAATATGTACGAGGGATGGACACCATGGATCTAATCAGGTACCGTTTTATTTGTTCATTGCAAGTCATGTCTAGCTGACAGTCTTGATGATAGACACGGCGATACTCCGAGGAAAGAAAGTTGGAGATGACAGGCAGGAAGAATCCATTCTTTCAGGCGCAACTCCGCCGAGAAGTTCACCAACTGAAAGGAGGTAAAGTTTCACAACTCGGGGCTCGACTTTATACTGTTTTTTGCCAGTTCAGTCAAGCCCTACAAGCACAGATCCAGAAGATGTCGACCGTGAAGGAACTGCGAGAATTGCTTTCTCTGACGCCACATCCCGAAGGTGGCTTCTTCTACGAGAGCTTCCGCGACGACTCAGTGATACTTCGCAAGGAAACCCTCCCCTCGCAATGTGAGTAGTTCTTTCTTTTTCCATCTCTCACAGGACTGTCTTGCAGTCAAGGTGGACAGGCCCGTGAGCACAGCCATCTACTTCTTGCTTCCATCCGGCTCGGTCTCCAAATTGCATCGCATCCCTTCTAGCGAAGTGTGGCATTTTTATGCCGGAGATCCTCTTACAGTAAGTCGCTATTTCCTGAAGAAAAAAAGCGAGTTTTTCCTTGATAGGTTCTTGAGATCCATGACAACGGCGAGGTGAAGCAAACAGTCATTGGCCCCGATCTCGCGGCTGGACAGAAGCTGCAGTACACTGTCCAGCCGATGGTCTGGTTTGGGGCTTTTCCAACCAAGGATTTGATCGACACCACCAAGTGTGTCAAGGCTTCTCCACGAGACTCGGACAAAAATTTCTCGCTGGTTGGGTGTACCGTCGCTCCGGGCTTCGAGTTTCAGGACTTTGTCATGGGAGAAAGCGAGGAGCTCAAGAAGTTATTCCCCCATTTGGCTGACGTGATAGAGTACCTTACTTGATAGTCAAGTCAAGTAGAGCTTTTCTTAAGAATAAATCAAAGATTAACAAAGATATCTTTGGCCTTCTCATTTCTCTAGAACTTATCCTTTTTCTCGCGGGGAACCACGAAGAATCATGTAGTGGCGTCAGTCGACCGGGGTCCAGGAGCTTTGCTTTTGTTTCTCCAGTCTATGACAAGGTCCTCCATGGCACAGGAACTTGAGTAGTCGATAACAACTCCTAACATTAATGCCACCACCACAAACCCTACATTTGCTGTTGCCATGGTGGCACTCAGAGTCTTTTGACTTTCCGCAAAGCGGGCCGTCAATCATATACTGCAACGCACTGATTTCAGTAGATCTGGAGACCTTAGTGCATGAGACTGAAGAAATATTCAACATAGTGAATTTAGGAGAACCATAGTTTACCCTAAGAGACTATGCTATGGAAAAACTAGGTTTGGGTATGAGCAAGATGCGTTGCCTCAACAAAAATCTTTATTAATGTCTTAGCTGTCTTCTTCTTCCTTTTAGTTCCAATCTCTGCCATTGCACTCTTTCTTATCTATGCTTCACACTGTTACTGTAGACCCTAGTTTAGATGCTGATGATTTTGCGAAAGCTCTCAAAAGTAAACAACCAAAGTTTGTCTTACTTTTAGTTTAGATGCTGATGATTGTGCAAAAACTTGCAAGAGTAAAGCTACTTAGACAACCAGAGTTTGCCTTACTTTACAAAGGACAAGCTCAATGAGTCTAAATTTCTTTTTCCTTCAAAGAAGACAGGATAAGAGATTAAGATATGAAAGATGAATAAAGTGAGTCCGTACCTAGATCTGTGATGCTAGACAAAGGACAAAGTCAATGAGACAAAGCTGACTAGAGAGAAGAAACAAAGATGAAGTTTTATATAGATTGCAATTGCCACCAAACTCCTTTTTATTTCGAAGTGTTTTGCAACTATATTTGAAGTTGGTTTATGGATATTCCATAGTTAAAACCTTCTATATCTATTGAACATGATCGGCATCACCATTATCTAAAGAAGGAATGCTTTTACCTTTTCTGTTACTAGAATTACAAAGAAGGATATTAAAAATAATTATATATATATAGTTTCTAATTTGATTTCCATGTTTGCAAAATAGTATCATAAACAACAAGATAACCTTCATTTTCAACACATAATGCCCATTTATTTTTCCAATATAAATTATAAGACCAAATCACACTGTTATTCTTATCATAAATTACAAGATTGCCATATTTTTTGTCATATTACTAGTTTTTTGTACAAATAGCCATTTGTATAATATTAAATTACAATCAATTTGCATATACAAAATATAGAAGTGATTTGAAGATTGCAGAAAAGCCTCATATTTTAAATTTGAAAACCTTGAAAAATTTGGTCCGCTTTTTACACATACCATATAAATATTAAAATCCTTAAAATTTTCAGTTTGACAACTAGTTTTATATTTGCTTTTTGTATTAGAGAATTCATCATCATCTAATGTATAAGAGATTGAATATCTTTCAACTATATTCTCTGCTGCACCATAAGTAACAAAATCATTAAAAAATTAATCTTGAATTTTTTTTTTAAACTGGCTCTGTAAATAGATTCCTTTAACAATATTTGATAAATTAGCAATAAAATCACAAGCTAGTAAATCATATTTGTATTAAAATTGTTCATCTAGAGCACTTATAGTTACAATTAAATTTTTAATTTTCTCAAATTTTATATAAGATAATGAAAATCCAGCATATAAATTTTCCTTGTTACTAGCATCTTCAATAAGTTATAGATTATAGGTAAGATAATATTATGTCTATATGGAACAGAAAGAGCTTGTAGTCTTTCATAATACTTAATAACACAGTGAGTATGTAAAATGAATAGGAACAATGATGCAAAAGAAATCATTATTGTAATATATATTTTCTTCAAATTATTTTAAAATAGTTATATTGAGACATTCCATGCACTCACAAAACTAAATAGAAAAAATATAAAAACATGAGATAAAAACAATATAACTAGATATTATAAATATTATACTTTTATATATTATGATATTTAGGTTTTTATAATATAAAATTAGGTGAACTTTAATTTTTAAAAAAATTTTAATGTCTGCATTAAACTACAATTGAGAATTCAATTTAGCTTGCACACTCAAATCTTCATTAAGAGTGGTATGCACTTGGGATGCTCATCCCCAAATGGCCAGTAAATTAGTTTATTCCCCACACCCCGTGATTGTTATTTTTTCTTACGTTCTTATGATGTAGAGGGGTTTTAATTTGGCCTCTTGAATGGCCAAATGGTTATACTTAATTGTCCAATGGTGGCCAAATTATGAATGGTTATATTCACCACCATTTTAAGGTACAAATTGCTGCACCAATTCCAGCAATTGTACTGGCAGCATTGGGGATAGTAGCTTCTAGGATAGTGAGAGTAGTGTAGAGATTGAATGGGGACATGATAGATGTTTCTTTATTTGAAGTTTCGAATAAGTTAAGATCACAAAAGAGACTTGTGGGCTTTGTTTGACACTATCTTCTTTATGGTACTTGCTTGTGCAATACCCAAACTTGGTAAGCATATCTAGTACCTTTTCATGCTATGGTGGTGTTTGAAGCAAGCACATTGGAGCTTGTTGTTAAAGCGGTTGTTTCCGCTGCAATACATCTATTCTCTGCAATTGCTTTCATGATGCCATGGAGACCACAAGTCTTTAACAGAAGAGAGTCGAGTATTGTGGGCAAACCAAAGGAAAGATCTAATCAAACAAAACATATAGAGTATAAAGGCCTTTCACCCAAAAAATCTACTTAGGAACCATATTGGAACTGGTTTGGAAATCTTAGTAACTCTCCTTCTTCCTTTGGTTTCAAAGAGCCTTCGTCATCCTCATACAACTGTTAACGCTGTTACTCTATGCAGGGATAATGCAACTAGAGCGAGCCTTCTGAAATCCTGGATGGAGGTGTCATGCTTATTGGCTATGCAGCATTTCGGAATCTTTCGACGGGAAGGACAAGGAAACAAGAGATTCTCTATGCAATGGTGACCATGACGTATTATCTAGGATCCTGGCGCTGACATAGTTGTTTGTGACGAGGGTCACGCCATTAAAAATGACAAGGCGGACATTACCATAGCACTCCAGCGAGTGAAATCTGGCCGCCGAATAGCCATGACAGGATCTCCTCTACAAAACAATCTGATGGAGTACTATTGTGTAAGTATTCGATGCTGGTGTCATTATGTGGATTAATTGATCTTGCAGATGGTTGACTTTGTGCGGCCTGGGTTTCTGGGTCCTCAAGCGATCTTTCGTAACAAGGAAGACTTTCGACTGCTGGAAAGTTACTTGGTCAGTCCGTATGGTGGCAGGCCTATCTTTGATCGCTACTAAGATTGAGTCATGCGTATCTTCCAAAGAACAGGCATGGCAATCAAAGTGTTTGCTATTTTCTGCTATTTTCTGCAGATTCGTGTGATGATCGCTGGGCTTGGTGCTGGATTGCTTCCAGTGTTTCTGTACAAGCATTTTCCCTTCAACAGCATTGAGGTAAAGTGTTCTCTTTGTTTTTCGTTACATGACAAAAGTTTTTTGCTTGTTTAAGGTAGTGGAGCTGGATCCGGTTGTTGCTGCTTTGGCAAAGCGTCACTTTGGATTTGTGGAAGACGATCGCATGCAGGCATGAGAGTCCCCAATTTTCTTTTTCTTCTTAACCAATATATTCTCTTACAGCTGAGACTTGGAGATGGATTAGCCGCTGTCGATGCTATAGCAAAACCAGAGGTATGAGTTGAAAGATCAAACTTGAAAGAAGAAACTCTCAAATATTTCTTATTTCAGATGGAAGAACAAGCTAACAGCGAGAACACTAGACATAAATTGCACATACTACTCATTGACGCTGATTCCTCCGATCCAAGGTGCGCTTCTGTCTTTTCTGTTGATATTTGTTGAAGTGATCAGATAACTCCGTTGCAGTAATGGGCTAAGCTGCCCTCCAGAGGAATTCGTTCTCGAAACATTCCTCCGCAGTGCGAAAGCTGCTCTGGAACCTGAAAGAATACTCGTCATAAACGTTGTTTCGCGGGCTCGTGAGCCTCACATACAAGCAGACCAGAGAATGTGTGAAGTAAGCTCGCTAGACTCTCGTTTCTGGTAGCAGTAAGAGCTTACAAGTTGTTCTTGCTTTGCAGATTTTTAGCGAAGTCTACGGCCTGCAAGTCGACGAAGACGTGAACCGGGTGGTGTTTGGATTGCCACAGCCGAGTAACCTGAGAGACTCCACCGCGATTTTTAACGCTGGAGTGCTACTGAAGAAGGTCGCGGGCCAGTTTGCTTCGTGGGACAAAGGCCCCAACGTCAAGGACGTACTAAAGAAGATCAAGCGGATCAAGTGACAGTGAGAAAAAAAAGGTCTGGTTTTACATCTTTTCTCATTCTCTCTGGGGGTTTTTGCGCGAGTTTTCTCTAGAGAAACGCACTGTACAGATGTACCATTGCTATACTTTTTTTGCAAACAAAGAGTCCTAAACGATGATCCTTGGTGTGTCATCGAAATCAAAGGAAGGATGGTTTTTTGTTCTCCTGCCAACTGCATGAGAAGATTCATCGCGTGAATCTCTCAGAAAGCCACAGGAGAGATCGACAAGGTTTAATCTGTGCATTGTGTGAATGAGCGACACGCACTGGAAATTAATCGCGTGTAGCCCCAGAAAAGATGCACGAAAAAGCGAGAAGAATGAAGAATTCTCTCCTACATGAGATGAGATCTTTGTCCAGAGAAGAAGAGATGAAAGAAATTCCAGGACATTGCGAAAGGAGATTAGCAATGTAGCATTAGCTGAACGGGCAAAGCACACGCGATAGAATCTTCGCAGTGCCCCAGTACTAAATGCGCGAGAAAAAAGAGAGAGAGAGAGAAGAAGGCGCTGTGGCGTCCATCAGTCGAACAAGGCAGCGAACAACGAATCGCTGACCCGTGCCATGGAAGCCGCGAGAAATCGTTGTGGCATCCGCGTATAAGCGAGCCGCAAAGAAAGAGCGGCGCCCTCAATGTTAAGATGCAAGAACCCTAAAATTGCAAAGCCCTAAAATCGAGACACTCGTTCTAGGGCACACACACAATGCGGCAAAGAGGAGCGATCGCCAGCGGCGAAGTCGTGACAGAGCTGGAGCTCGTCTTCCTCAGGCTGTCCGCGATCGATCTGTGCCAGGCCAGGTGCGTGTGCCGCGAATGGCGACGAGCAATTGACGATCCCAGCTTCCGCAAAGGCTACGCTCTCTCCCACCGCTGCATCCCTCACCTCTTCCTTCGTCTCTCTGGATCCCTCCTCGTCAAGCCGCTCGACAGCTCCCCTCGCAGCGAGTGGCGCCACTTCCAGACGCTCCCCGACGACATGACCATCGCCAGCAGCGACGCGGGCTTGCTGTGCCTGGCCACGTTTTGGGACTGGTTGGCGCTACCCTCCATCTTCGTGTGGCGCTACAGCGATCTCAACTCCTCCCCGGTGAGAGTTCCGTTGCCGCCAGATACCGGAGACATGCACTTGACGGTGTACCGCCGCGAGAGGGATCGATCGACGCGAGAGTTTTGCGTCGCTAGCTTGGGGCCATGGGGCGCCTTCTACATCTACGACTCGGCCTCGGGCGAGTGGTCCTTGCGCGAGAACAAACACTACTCAGACTTAGGGAATGAATTCTATCCGATGCTGGATCACGGGGAGGTGGTGATGCTTGGCACGGATGCCTTAGTGAGATACAACTTGTGGAATGATTCCTGGCGCATTTTCAAGCTTGATTCCGACGAGTTGATGTTCGAACGGAGCTGGTCCCTTCTTCAGCTGGATCGGGATCGGCTGTTCGTGGTTAGTAATGAGTTGCAGGCGGAAGATCACGAGGGGCTGGTTGTCGTAGAGAGGCGGGGAGAGAAGTGGGAGATTGTTTCGAGCCGTGATGAGGAGTTTGATGATTTGGAGGTGTGCACTGTTTGCACTGATGGGAGCAACAGTATATGGCTGCTTGACAGGGATAACTCACGGATTGTGCACTTTGGAGTCGATTCCAAGAGCTGGTCAGTGGAGGAGGCGCCCGAGGCTATAGCTCGAAGATTCGTGAACTTTGCTTGGTTCTCTTGTTAGTGCTGAAAATCAGGAGTTCTTTCTCGAAGAAGATCCAGGGGACTGCTGCGAGCTAATGCTGTGATGATCGGCATCGTTGTTAGAATGGTGGTGAAGGAACAACAAGGTGGTAAATCGCTACTTTGCGAAAAGCAAGATTGAGCACGTTTGTGACACGGAAGAAAAGTGTGCAAAAGCTCTTGCAGTGCCCCGAGCCAAATCGTTGTGGCATCCGCGAAGAAAGAGCAGTGCCTCAATGTTAAGTGCAAGAACCCTAAAATCAAAAGAATCATGAAATTTATTTGATATTAAGGTAACATCTACTTTATCATGAAAAACTTCACTCACTTGCTGCTACAACACTGGAGGAATCCATTGTTGTTCTGCACACACTTGTTAATCAGTACTGAGGTATAACGATACTGGCCATTGCCATAGCACTGCGCATTGATGGAAGCAGCACTTGGAGCTGGAGGATGGTACCACGGGGTGATCACTACATTCTGGCACGAGGCACTAAAGTTTCTGCCACAGTTGAGGGTTCCTCCATTGTTGCTGAAGCAATCGTTAAGGTTGATGCTGCTCCTTTGGAGCTGGCCATTGGGCTTGTAACAATTGGCAGTCAGTGTTGTGCCGCTTATAACCTCCGAGTTCTTGTCACAGCTATCCTCAAAGTTGCATGCCTGCATCAAAACCAGATTGAGTCTGATTAGGTATAGTTCTAGTGTGGGCATTTAAAAAAAAACTAATAGCTTACAGCGTTGCTTGTCCCTGCAAGCGCTACAAGAGCAAAGACTAAGCAGATAATAAACTGCGAAGACATGATAGAATGCGAGTTGTAGAGATTGTGGGTTGTGATCCCACTGTTGGACTTTTATACTGGCAAATGTGAAATTCCAACACGGAAGTGCAGGTAGCTCAACCAAGCTCTTTAGATTTTCCTTAAGGAAAGAGGGTGGATGGGCCATGTCTATAATTTTTCACCAATCTTCAAAATAATATCTAATTAATAAATCTTGATACCTAAACGAGAAACGTTTATGAACTGGAAAGTATTGTAGAGAAATAACTCGTCCTCATTACCTAGACAATTTGCTACAAACAACTGTCCATTTCACTGGTTGAACCTAACAATCAAGTTTATGGTGCCTTCCATTTATGCACTTGGTAAAAAAAAAATCAATAAGAATGTTCAGTATTAAAATATCAGATTATAATTTTAATTAGAGCTAGGTCCATAGATAATTAGAGCATGTTGTTTATGATAAAGGTTTGGATGATACTCAAGCAGAAGGTTACCAAGAGCTCTATCACTCTTTTACACTTCTCGCCCATCCCAGCTGAAGAAAACAAAGATCTCTGTGAGCTCAAGGAAAGACTGGAGCTCCCAGCCTGTGAGCTCGAGAAAGACTGGAGTTTCTTAGTGACTTCCAATCCAAGAAAAACCAGGGATGCCCACCGATGTTGTCATGTTTATCCACTTAATACAACTGCAAACTTGGCCCACTCTTCGTCACTAAGCGGAAGGACTAGAGGTGCTGGCGGAGAAGAGATCTCGACTCCAGCGTTCCATGCCAATCGAGATCCATCCGCATGTCCAGAACAAAGGTTGGGAGCTCGGTCGTCGCGTGGAATTGCTCGAGATGCTCCGTTTTGCCGGAATTTTTAGGGCCCAAGATCAATACATAAATTAGGGTTCTTGAGGTTTAAGCGGTTTTTGTAGTTGAGGTTTTTGTATTGTTTCGTGATTGAGTTTTTACTAGTAAGGAGGAAGGAGATGGCGGAGTTTGAAAAAACAGCTCGGAGGACGAGTACGATGGCGATGGATACATGTCCGAGAGTTCCAGTGATCTAGTGTTTCTTATCGTTCATCAATGATACTTATGTTTGATGTTCAGGGCTCAAAGTCTGACGAGGAAGTCACAAGGATGATCGATTGGCTGGTGGAAATTGAAAGTGAGGTTTGTATCCTTTTTTTTTGTCATCCAATAGCTGGCTTATCTGTGATGTTATCAGTCCGCTGACGCTCAAGAACATTTGGAAGACGAAAGTGTAAAGAAAGTGGAGGAGGAAGTCAGGCTGGAGTTGTCTGAAACACTCTCTGGACAAGAAGTAAGAAATTTGCATGCAAGGAAAAAAGCTCATGGACACCATTTTGTTGGTAGCTGGAGATTGTGAAATGGCGGACTACGTTTCCATATGGAAAAAAACGCTTTTGGAGCTTGAAGAGGAGAGTGCAAAGCTTCAGGTTGATTAGAGAGCTATTTGTGCTATTGTGATACTGAACCGTCTTCTCCATGACCGCCTTGAAGATGCCGGTGTGTCTCTACCGGATTTATTCAAAGCTATTGAAAAGCAGGCTGCTGAAGGGTGTATGACGGACACTTGGAGAAACCGGGCTCACTGGGCTGGTACTCAGGCACCTGAAGATTTTGCGGAAGTGCTTCATTCTGCTGAGAAAGATTTGGATGCTCTGCGGCCGGTTATAAGGTTCGTTTTTACGCATATGGAGCTGATCTAACCTGTGAGATACTAGGCGCCGAGGCAAACTTGTAGAGGAAGGTGCAAGCGGTTTTCTGGAAAGAAAAGTGAACGACGTCGATACTGTGAAGGGCTCCACTGGATGGGAAGCATTTGATAGTGCATTCCAGCCAAACTTGAGCGCAGTTAGCTTGTTCGAGTCAAAAAAATGGGCTGCGGTTTACTCCGCCTCGACCCCGGAGCAAGCAGCGCGATTGGGCTTAAAGTTCCCAGGCGTTGACAAGGTATAGTGTCTTGAAACGTCAGAAACTAACCTTCTCATGTCAGGTTGACGATATTGCGGACATAGATCAACATGTTGGGATGGAGGCGGCCGCTTTGGCCGAAGAGAGTGAGTTCGCATAGATGTAGTTATTTTTAAAGTAATGGCAAGACTAATTGGTAAATTCTTTTTCCATTACTTGAAAGGAGAGATGCCACTATAAACCATAATTGTTTTTTATATTGTCTGTATTGTCAATCCTAATATCAGAGAGGATGAGAACATCATCTTCTTCAACACTTGGGCTTGTCTCTAGCTTTATTGTGTCTTGTCCTTGACAGTGGATATTGCCACTTTTATCTGTGCTTGTACCATTTCAAATACACTACTTGAAATCTCTATGTACAGTAGTGAAGAAAAAGTGGCTAAACAATCTGCAAGTGAGATAGTTATCATGATTGGATCAAAGAAATAAAATAAAATGAGCCATACTTGCTTGCTTATTGTTTGATTCAACTATTTCTATTTCTGGTTTTGGCAGGATACATAAACCGTCACTACAGGCCAGGCAATGGTTACATTGTCATCTGGTGCAACATTAGTGGTTGATCAACAAGTGGAGGTATGATTCACTGATCAACCTTTAAAAGATTTTAGTTTTCTTTGATAACCTTTTCCACTGAAGAGCTGAAGAATATGAGGGATATACATAACAGATGCAAATGTGGAAATGAAGAGCAAACTAGATTAATCAGAGGCCATTGTTTTTTTCTCGCTAATGCATGACGGCGGAGATGCGAGCGGTTTGGAAGATTACCTCTGGCGGCGGATGAGAAGGGTAAGATATACGCCAAAATCCATGACATGCCACTCAGCCGGCTGCGGTCGCTCATTCCCTCCTTTCTGGATGATGCCGCGGTGGCTGCTTCACTGAGAGAGGAGTTTCTGAAAAAAAGGAGAGCTGTTCCGAGTAAGTGTCTTCTTCATGCCTCCTCTACGTGACATATTTTTTTATGATGCTCGAATCAGTGATGAAATTCAACCCGGACGCTCAAAGTTCAATGCGACAACGAGTTGAAGAGCTGAAAAGGTTTGTGGTTTGATCGTATGTCCGAGCTTACAAGTTTGGTCCAATGCACACAGGACGAACTATGTGTCGGTAAGCCTTGGAAAGGGCAAGTTTGTTGATTGGATCCATGGGTCAGACAATGACCCAAAAAACTGTGACCTCCCAAAAGAGCGTTGGGAATCAGCGGTAGCACTCAAGGAGGCTCTCCAAGTTCCTCTTTGTTTTTTCTTTTTGGGTGTTTGGACTTTTATGGCTAAATGACACTTGCATGCAGCCGTGGAGCGCCTTTGAGGGGTCCCAAGTACGATATAACTATATATGATTTCGACCGTCGTTGCTACGTGGATGCGGAAGGTAAACCTCTGGAGGGCGGAGTCGAACCTTTGGAGAACGTATATGAGGGTTGAGGATATGTCTAGTGTAGATAAAGAAGTCAATTCCCATGAAAAAATACACAGGCAAATGGAACCCTTGCTATCAATGTCAATCATAGTAGAGAGTGCTTAAGATTATGGACGTGTTTCTAGGATCGAGCTGTCAGTGGCAGCAAATCATTAATGAGACGTTTAATTTGCATTTATAGGAGTTCAGCATCGATATCTCTCTTTCGCGGGCATGATCTTGGATCCATTGCACTTGTAGAGTTGGCGGACGTCCTCTACAATCCATCTGTTTGCGGAAGTAGGGCTATCTCGTCCTCATGACTTTTCGAAAAAACATATCTGCAGCCTTGGTGTATTGATTCCACCCTCCTGGAGGATGTGCATCAGAAAGTCTGTTCGGAGTACCATTTGTGTGAGCGTTTGAAGTTATGTTTGAAGCTGGATTTGCTTATAAACCTGGCCTTATACTAAACTCTTGATTTCAGCTATCAATATCGACGATGATATTGCACATTGTTTCAAGGGAGGTAAAATATCACACACGTCCACAAGCTTTGTGCAGCAAAGCTTCCATTTTCCCATAAAAAACTCGATCGATCTGTGGCCACTGCAGAGAAATAAAGAAAGATAAAAACACATTTCTTCTCTTCAAAATTTTGGAACATACCTTCTACACTCGTAGCTTGTTATGAATGTTGCGTCGGGATTATTAGCTAGGAAATAACTCACGGTTGCGAACAAATCGTCGAAATCTGTGAAAGGTGAGCCGCTAAGGAGAGGAAATCACACATTTGTCTTCTTACCTTTGGAATCGTATAGAACATCAGCTCCAAGAACAAAACGAGGATGTTTCATGGCGAGTAAATTCTCGTCCCATTCTCCCCAAGTAAGCCCCTGAATCTAAACTAAAATGGAAATCGAAATCAAAACCAAAGCAAACAAAACCATGGAGAAAGTACCTCGCACTCCACATTGTTTAGATCACAAGTCTTACGCATGTTTTCAAAGACCTTTCACAAGAAAAAAAAAAAAAGAAGAAGATTTTGAGTCCTCCAAGTTTCTGATTCTTACCTCTGGATAGAGCTTGTAATCTGTCAAGATCACTCTGGCACCGACCTTTGCTGCAACAATTCCTGGCAATCCAGTGCCTGCTCCAAGCTGTTTGGCGCGATTTAAAACCAAGAAAACGAAGTTTGAGAACAAAGAAGAAAGGAAGAAGAAACTCGCAAACCTCGATCACCGTAGACCCAGCAAAGCGATGCCTTTGCTGCCAAACATACTCTCCCAAGCAAATCCCACACGGCCAAACATAAAGCCCATAATCTTCTTTCATCACCTACATTCCTCGAGAACAAATCAAACCCAAATTCCAATCTCCAGCTAAGATCACGATCTCTTACTTCGCTAATCGACACCGCCAGAGAATCGCCGCCCTCGCCATCAAACCGGTGCTCGGAGACCGTGCGCATACCCTGGAAGCAAGAACCCTAATTCTCACTACGCGGGAAATATAGTTTTAAAAACTAGGGTTTGGCTGGAATGGAAAAACACAGCCATCGATTCTACAGCTAAAGCCGTCGGTTGGAAGCCATCGCCAAGCTCCACTGCCCAGCTCGTGGACAAGAACCCTAGATTTCCACCCCCAATCCATCACGAGATAGACAAGATCCTCGCTGCCCACAGCGCGAATGTGGAGCCAGCAATCGTAAGCGGAGCTACTCTTATGAATTGCTCTGCAAATCTCCATTCCCAGCTCCTCGGGCATGGATCGCAGCTCGATCCAGCCCCGGGAGCTCGGATCCAGCTCCCAGATTTGCAGTCCAAAGATCGCGGTCGACTCGCGCAAGACGAGAAGTAGCAATCTTTCTCTAAAAACTAGGAGATTTGGATGAACCTGGGCCGTGAATCGGCGCTGGTTGGAAGCCGTGATCGCGGCGTTCTGCCAGGAGATGGAATCCGGGAAGAAACCGTGGACGATCCGCCAAAGATTGTCCTGGATGTCGAATTGAGCGAGGATTTGAGGCGTGGAGCTCACCCCCCAGATGCAAAAGAGACCACTCCCATCCCCGCGTAGCGCCGAGCACAGCAAGCTCAAAAATCCTCGCCCAGTGATCGCATCCACGCTCGCCACTGATCTTCTCGCCTTGGATAGTTTGGCATCTGCTAGGTCGAACAGGCAAACACCCCAGTTGGATCCCCACAGAGAAATCGGTCCTGCCAAGACGATCCCATAGCCACCATCGCTCTTCTTCCACATCGCGAGAGCCTCAATGGAAGAAAACCCTTCATCGACCGACAAAATGCGCCGCGCGGTACCGCGGAGTGACGCGGGCGTCAGGGGGTCGAATACCGCCAGCATGGGGGGCATTGTGAGCGACGCGCTGAAGACGCAGCACAGCAGCCCGTGTGCGCTGGCGGCAAGACAGGGACCGGTCCACCGCGACTGGCATTTCTTTCCAAGAAAGCCCGAGACAGAGCCCAGAGAGAACCACTGACGGCATGCCGCGCTGTACGCCGCCAGGTGCTCTTTCGCACCGCTGGGCCTCTCCTGCCCACGGTTGTGCAGCACGAGCCAGGCTGTTTCACGCGACGCCGACGCTCGACGAATGAACGGCACGGCGGTAAGCTCCCGCCACGCACGGGATACCGCACTGCACCGCGCGACGTCGCGCAACGGTAGCCGTGACAGGATGAGTACCGTCACGTCACTGGCGATACCGTGGCTGCACTCTTCTTTCTTGATCTCCTTACCAACCATCGCGACCGTTGAAAAAGGTCGAATATTCTCCGCCACCAAGAGAACACTGCCGTTAAAGCCAATCTAGCTGGACGAGTCCAGACCCGCCACGTGGTATCCTTCCATGTGTTGCGGACCAACGCTATTCATCAAGTCTCCAATACACTGCCCGTTGGAAAAGAAGTGCGCTCTCCTCTCATTAGCATTTTAGCTCTCATTGCTTCGCGGTTAGAGATCTTCCAGGAAGATTTTCTAATCCTCTCCTTCGGTTCTTTCGATTCGAGAGCTTAGATCTGTATCAAACGAACGAGAAAAAGATCGGAGAAAAGGAAAGCTTTCGAGCGATGGCTGCTGCTGCGATTGAAAATGGAAGTACCTTTAGCTCTAGAAGTCCTTTCAAGGAGTGGAATGCCCAGAACGAGGAGGTATTCTCGATTCGCTCCAGGATGCTCACGCCCTCCAATCGAAAGAAGTTCCAGAATGTAACGGCCCCGGAAAATGTACGTTGCTTCCTTGCTTTCGTTCTCGATCCATGTTTTCCTTGCTGAAATCTTTTGTCTGTGAAGAACCAAGTCAGCTGCCAAATCTCCAAGCTGCAGGAAGGCTTACAATCTGTTACCTCTTCACTGTCGCTCTTGAGTGACACCATTGGCAGCGCGCTTGCGGTAAGTTTACCATCGAGGTTTTGAGTTCCTCACGTGAAGAACTTCGTTTCGTTGGAACAACAGGAGTCATTCACTCTGATCGAATCGGATCGAAACTGTTATGCTGCATCACCGCAGAGATCACCACAGAGAAGTGAGTCATCAGATCAAAATTCTGACTGCATTACTTACAGCTCCTCGCAAAAGTCTCCGTCATCTTCATCAACTGGAACAGAGGAGAGTCCAAAGTTTCAGCTCAAGCCTTCCAGCGATGTAAGCAGCTTTCGGTTGTGTAGTCTCCGGCTGACGCTAACGTCTGATCAAACAGCTCGCGATGTCTATGGCCGCCAAAGCCAAACTTCTACTCCGCGAGCTCAAGACCGTGAGAGCGGAGCTTTGCTTCATGAGAAACCGGACGTCACAACTAGAAGAAGAGAACAGAAAAATGCGCGGCAGTATGAGCAAAGGAAATGCACCCGAGGAAGATGATCTGGTAGGCAAAAGAAATTCTGAGAAACTCGAACCTTGAATATTTTTCTCGTTACAGGTGAGAAGGCAGCTGGAGACCCTCCTGGCCGAAAAAGCTCGGCTTGTACAAGAAAACGCTACATACAAACGGGAGAACCAGTTTCTTCACGAGGCCATAGAGTACCATCAATTGACAGTACAAGGAATGGTCTTGCCGGAATAAAGTGAGCCGCGCTGAGCTAAATGAGCAACTGGAGTTAGAAGATAGTTCTAAGCAGAGCCTGAAAGGCAAACTCACCGAAAAACTCCGAAGAGGCGAGCATCTAGTCTATCTCCTGATCGCAAAGGAGACTTTTCTGTCCGGCTTTGGAAGATGGAGATCGGCAGCAGGCTCCATATCCGTCTTGTCTTCGTCCTGTTCGTAGTCCATGTCCTCGGTATTGAGCAGTGTTCTAGTGGGTACAATCAGCTGGTAGTTCACTGCCGTGAGTGTATCTTGATCTGGAGGCAACGCCAAGCCCGGGCCTCCGATCACCTTTGGCAATGGTATGCTGTTGCGCACTTTTGCTAGCTCCAAGAGTGTCTAAAAGATGGAACACATACACAAGCGTTAGTTTGGGAAGATGAGGAAGAACAACAAAGCAAAGAACAAAGAAATGTAGAGGATGACAAAGTCAAGACTAGTTTCCAGACTCCAAAAACTACTCTAGAAATTCAGTTCTAGAACCACAAACAAAGATCATAGATCTAGCTTGACGATTTCTTCCACAAACCACAAACCAGAAAAGAATATTTCAAGCTTACCAAGATGGAACATGTTTCGGAAGAACCCAAACTTAAGGAAGAACAACAGAACAAAGAACAAAGACGAACCACAGACCAGGAAAGAGAATTTGCTTACCTCTCTCGGCGGTGGCTGAGAGAACGAGTGATTGACGCGGGATTGCACGGCGAGCTTCACATCCTCGCAATCGATCGCCGGTTTCCCAGCGTGCTCCGAGTAGGCCTGCGCGTCCCCCAAGACCTCGGCCACATATCGATACCACATATCCAGGAACTGATTCACGACCCGGGGCTCATACTCGGCCACACCCATCGATCGCATTATCGATCGCACAACTCGCGCATCGCGAGGAATGTCTTCGCCATCGACATCACCTCCTCCTCCTCCTTCCTCCGCCATTGCCCCTGCCCTAGGTAAGCTCGATTTTACCCTAATCTATCAATTGGAGCTTTGCCTCGAGCGACAAGGCGCGGAGGTATCGCGTCGCGAGCAGCGTCGCGGGTAGTCTTCTTCGATCATCCCTTCGATCGTGATTCTCCTCTGGCGGAGGCGAGCACAGCCCATCCATCCAGGTTCTAAAACCTCCTCCCACTGGAAGAGGCTTAGGGTTTTAGTCCATCCATCCGGCGCTTGCGTAGCTCCTCGCATTGCTCTTCGTCGCGACGAGAATCTCGCTCGCTCGCGCGCGCGCCGCGTGAAATTCCAAGGCGCGACCACGATGTTGTAGCGGCCGACGGCAATGGCATCGCAAGCTACTGCCGGTGATCATGCTCCAGGGCAAGAGCTCAGAGATTGCCTGAGGTAATGTTCTAGCAAAATATCTTCACTCTCTAACGAAGAACTTGGGCTTTCCAGGAGATTTGACGCTGTTGCTACCAGCGACCCCGATACTTCGGAGGCGCTCTTGCAGCTAGAGGGCTCTTTGCAAGCTGGGCTCGTATTGGAGGAGCTCGGCCATGCATGCTCCGTGGATGCCACTCACTGCAAAAGGCTACTGTCGTTCTTCCTTCCTCTAAACGAGAAGGATGTAGCGCAGATAATTGGGCTGGTGTCGCGAACTCATCTCGGAGTCGAGGACGTCCATGGAGCTTATGCCACTGTCTTCTCGGTGCTCTGCGACAGCCCCTCCTACGTAGGTGATTCTCCGTGGTTGAGTACATGGAATCAGGATGTTCTGATCGATACTTTGAAAGAGCTGGTAAGATCATTGCTGTTACTCCGTTTCCCGTTAATTTGTGGATATCTTCCTACAGGCTCCTGCCCTGGACTGGCGGCTAGTGATAGAGAATCTCGATCATGAAGGGTTTTTCGTTCCCGACCAACAGGCTCTGTCGGTTCTTATGTCATTCTTTACAAGGAACTCTCAGGTTGGCTTGTTTTACTTTTCCGAAGCGATGACCTTAGTTGTATTGTCTTCAGGATACGTTCCCTATACAAGCTGTTTGCGGGAGGATTTGGAAAAATACAGAAGGACAACTCTCATTTTTACGGCATGCAGCCGTTGCGCCACCTGAAATTTTTACGTTCGCAAGCTCTCACAGAAAACAGGTAATGCTTTTTTATATCCTGTTTTTATTGAACTTCTTATTTCTTTTCTTATTTTTCTTGAAGATGCTGCTGGAAGGTTACCATAGGTTTGCGTTTGGTAGTCCAAACCATGCTTGGCTATCCATGGATTTACTTGAAACGCTGTGCCGGCTAGCAGAGTTAGGCCACGGGGAGGCCGTTCGATCTCTGCTAGAATACCCTGCGAAGCACTGTCCGGAGCTGCTTCTCACCGGATTAGCCCAGCTGAAGGTACAGCACTATTCTACATTGAGCATCTCGACAATTTGCTTTGTCGTTCCACAGACGGACTGGAACCTTGTTCAAAACGAATATTTTACGCCGTTGTTTTCTGCGTATCTTGGCATAAATCAGCATGCAAGTCTCGTAATGCATCAACTATGGCTTTTAAGTAGGGAGCTAATGAAAAAAGCCATGGTCGAGATCCACTCCAAAGAGCCAAGCGCAATTGGTCGTATCCTAGACGTTTGTCAGGAGTTAAAGGTATTGTACAGCTGATTTGTATATGACTTTGGCATTGACTATACATTTTTCAGGTTCTTTCGGAAGTGCTCGATGGTACACCTTTTCAGTTCTCTATTGATCTCGCAGCGTTAGCAGGAAGAAGAGAGTTCCTGAACCTTGAGAAGTGGTTGCACGACAATCTAGTAGTATATCAGGAACCCTTGTTTCAGGTAAATGCATTGTTTCCGGTAAAACGAAGCTCAACTGTATATGCAGGCCTGTTTGAGCTTTCTGAGGGAGAGATTGTTAGTGGAAAGTTTTAATGGACAGTCGGGAACTCCCCGGAGTGGACCGATTGGACTTTCTATGGAAACAACGGCAATCTTTTTCAAGGTTTTGTCTTTTTATGTGTTCCTTACAAGTTTTCTGAAAGCTTCTTTAGGTACTCCAAGCATTTTCAGCCCAGTTATCTTCGAGAGAACTTGTCGAAGAAATGAGACGTGTGCACGCGGCTGCAATTCGTGCAAATCCACGTCTTCTTAGCGGTGCGGGTACTGAGCAGTCGTCGTCTGAAGCATTTTCAAGTGATGTTGAAGAGGAGGCAAACGTTTACTTTCAGAAGATATACAAAGGCCAGCTTACCATCGAAAACGTTGTGGAGATGTTAGAAAGGCTCAATGGATCTTCAGTACCAAGGTTCGCTTCCAAGTTGTCTTATTAGCGAATGACTTTATTTGCTTTTTTTCCAACTATGCAGGGAGCACGAAGTATTTTCATGTATGATTCATAGTCTGTTTGATGAATATCGCTTCTTTCCAAGATACCCGGAGCGAGAACTCAAAATTACTGCTGTGCTATTTGGTATCAGAAAGTTTTTTCATATGACTATAGCTAACACATCTTTTCGTAGGTAAACTTATAAGTCATCAGCTGGTGTCATCGATCACCTTAGGCGTCGCCTTACGTTGCGTTTTAGACTCCTTGCGCAAAACTCCTGACTCGAAGGTGAGATAGAAAAGCTGCATACTTTTCCTTCACCTATTCCGTTTCCTGCAGATGTTTTCATTTGGCATGACTGCACTGGAGCAATTCAGAAGCCGGCTTGAAGAATGGCCACAGTACTGCAATCATATCTTGCAGATATCTCACATGAGAGACGGCCATATGGATCTTGTTGATTATATTGAGCGGTCGCTGGCACGCGCATCGTCCACGCAAACTGACGTCCTAGCAAATCCTTCTAGTGATCAACAGAACGCTCAAGTGCAGCCTGAGCTGGTATGTACGCGGAACACGTCTTGTAGTCTGACGTGTTTTTCTAAGGACGCTGCGCAGAACCTGAATCCGCAGCAGCAGGAGGAGCGTAGTGCAGGTGGTACGCTGGTGGCGAACAAACCTCTTTCACAATCCGTTTCCTCTACCGCTCAACTGTATGAAATACTGAAGGGGCAACAAAAGGTGGTATTTTTGTAAGCGTTTTGCACCCTGACGTCCGTTTCAAAACAGGCTATGAATGCTCAACAATCTAGTTCGCACTTCTCGAAACCAGCGAGAACTATGTCAGTTCCAGGTGTGATTTTTGCTTTTTCTCTTCTGGAATCTTGGGTTTTAAACTCCAGTCACAGGCCGACATGTAACTACTCCTGGATTTGGACATGCGTTGAACATTGAGACACTGGTCGCAGCTGCCGAAAGGAGAGATCCAATTGAAGTAAGACCGATTTTCTATGTTGTTTACTCTATGCTCTGGTGCGAATTCGCAGAATCCCAGCCTTGAGACGGAGGACAAGGTTGCCTTTATTATCAACAATATATCTGTAGCGAATTATGAAGCGAAAGCAAAGGAGTGCTTAGAAGTTTTGAAAGACAAATACTACCCCTGGTTCGCTCAATATATGGTTATGAAGAGGTATTTGTTGACATTGCCATTTGTATATGCGGTATAATTTGATTTTGAAGGGCGAGCATTGAACCAAACTTTCATGATATTTACCTGAAGGTCCTCGATAAAATGAATTCAAGAGCTTTGGATCAGGAAATTGTCAATGCCACGTACCAGAATTGCAAGGTATGGTACTTCATTGATTGTGCTATCTGTAGCGTTAGTTTATGCAGGTGCTTTTGGGATCGGAACTGATCAAGTCAAGTTCGGAAGAGCGCTCGCTTTTAAAGAATTTGGGCAGCTGGCTGGGAAAACTTACAATTGGGCGGAATAAAGTTCTGAAGGCCAAAGAAATTGACCCGAAAACACTGATTACGGAGGTGAAAATATTTTGTTTTCTTGCTCTCTTACATTTTTATAAAACAGGCATATGAGAGGGGGCTGATGATTGCTGTTATACCATTTACTTCCAAGGTAACAGCTGGCCGTCTCTCCCATATATGATTCAGAGTTTATATTTTTGCAGATTTTGGAACCATGCCAAACAAGTCAAGTGTATCAACCTCCTAATCCCTGGACAATGGGTATTCTGGGCCTTCTATCCGAAATTTATGCGCTTCCGAACTTAAAGATGAACCTGAAATTTGACATTGAGGTCAGTCGTAAGTACATTTTAAATTGTAAATCTTTTCCTATGTTGTTTCAGGTTCTTTTCAAGCATCTTGGTGTCGAAATGAAGGACGTAAAGCAAACACAACTAGTAAAAGGCAGAATGCGTGAAGTTGAAGGAAATCCCGACTTCTCCAATAAAGAACTTATTGCTGCTACCCATCCACCAGCTACCACGGAGCATAGCATAATATCTAACCTCAATCAGGTGGAGTTTCTCCCGGAGCTGCCGGCACATCCAGTTCCCCATGCGACGGCTACTCAGGTATGTGCTCCTGATAAAGCTAACTCAAATAATTCGTTTGGTTGTACTCAGCTACCTGTTCATGTATCTCCAAATGCATCCCAAGATGAGGAAAAGGTCCTGCCTTTCGTTGGAGAACGTGTTAAAGCGCATTCCACTGCCCCATCTCCGTTTTCTTCAGGACAGGTTCGTCTTCCAAGTTTAATGACTAGTATGCATAACGGGGAGTTTGGTTCAGGCTTCAACTCTTTCAAATCTTAATGTGTACGTGGTTCTTAATAATAGACTAGCAGGAATAAGTCAGCAACACCAACAGCAAATGCACAGGTAAATCATTGTTTCCGTTTTTATGATGTCTTACGCGTTTAAATTCAGAATTATTCCCTTGGCAATGGAACGGGCTATTAGGGAGATTATTGCGCCTGTGGTTGATCGTAGTGTTACCATCGCTTGCATGACGACGAGGGAGCTAATACAGAAGGTACATCCATTTTACGCGATGCGCTTATATAAGACCGTCCGTTGCAGGATTATGCCCTTGAAGCGGACGACAATAGAACGCTTCATTCGTCAAATCTAATGGTTGCGAGTTTGGCGGGAAGTTTGGCTCATGTGACGTGCAAGGTAAAACGTAACTCATTACACCTGTTATCTAAATTTTTACTATAGGAACCTCTTCGTGTTGCAATGGCAAGTCATATTCGCAACGCTCTCCAGCCGAGTATTAGCTCTGACGTATTAGAGCAGACTGTGCACGTCGTGACGAACGACAATCTTGATTTAGGCTGTGCAGTTATTGAAAAAGCCGCAACAGAGAAGGTAGGAGTTAAAACATTTTTGCAATGATCAAGCGTCTGATATGTGGTAAAGGCTTTGCGAGATCTTGAGGATTCCATGGCACCTATTTTGATAGCTAGAAGAACACAAAGGGATGTTGTTCATCAAGCATACACTCAAGGGAATCTTTCAAGGTTACCTGAGTCTCTTCGACCCAAAGCTGGTAGATTGTCACCCGCTCAACAACGTGTTTTTGAGGTATTGTGTTTTTCTTTTCTCCATGTCAATGTAATTGCTTTTGATGTGTGCTCAGGATTTCGCTCGTCTGCCATGGCAAACACAAGCCTCAGCTGCAAGCACTCGCCCAAATTATCCGAACGTATTTCCTTCTCATACTTCTACCGCTATTACGCAAGCGTCGGATGTCAATGCTGACGAAGTGGATGTTCGCACCCAGTCGCCAACAAGGTACCTTTTGACACGCTACCGGTGTTTAAAGGCTCATTAGTCTATGCAGTTTTCCTGACGGAGGAGCCCGACATCAAGAAGTATTGTCAAGTGATGGAACTTCTGCTTTACTTCCAGATGGAAGTGGCGCAGAGCTTCTAAAGGTACGAAAATGGTCAGACACATTTGTTACTCATGCTTTTCTCTGTTCTCTTATTGGTACGCAGCTCCACGTCCCCAACATTTTGCCTGGACCAACTTTACCGACGGAACCACCCGGACCTGTAAGTCGGCCTGTGAAAGATGATGTTAAACCTATTCCTCGCGACACTGATCCGGTTGGACTTCGTGATCAGGTGACTTCGTCTTTCCTCTTCTTCCTACTTGATTGATGCTTGTCTTTTTGTGTAGATTGCCCTCCTGTTCGATGAATGGGCTCGGGTGTGCAATACCCCAGGCGCTAATGATAAAACATATGCAAATTTTATATCTCAACTTACGCAATCTGGTTTCCTCAAAGGCGATGATGTGACGGATCAATTTTTCAGAATTCTTACTGTATGTTGCACAGCCTTTTCTATTTTCCGTCTTTTGACTTTAATGTGCGCAGGAGCTAGCTGTGGCGCATTCGCTTTCTGTGGAATCCTCTCCTATTGGCACTTTAAATTTTGCGGCCGTTGATTTGTACGCCAAACTTGTTGTGCTCCTTGTGAAGGTAGAGTTGAAGAATCTTAACCATGGACTATCTCAAACAATATTGGCTCATGCAGTTTTATGCGGCGGAATCAACAGCAAATAAAGTCGGCCTTCTTAACAGAGTTCGTGATTGATGTTTTGTCCCAGCTGCTGTTCCTTATGCTTGGTATTTGTATCAGGTTTTGAACGTGACTGTGCGCGTGATTCAAAAGGACGCTGACGAGAAGAAAACTTCGTTTCAGCCGCGTCCTTACTTCCGCTTGTTTCTAACATGGCTCATGGATTTTAATGCGCCAGACCCATCATTGGATTCTAGCGTTTATCAGGTACGTGCTTTTGGTCCACTTCAATTGATTTCATGGATTGGAACAGATTCTTCTTTCCTTCACCAATGCCCTCACGATGTTGCAACCCCTGAACACGCCGGGATGGAGGTGTGGTATATAATACCTCTGTGGTTTGTTTAATTTGCTGTCTCTCTTGCAGCTTTGTGTGGTTGGAGTTGATTAGTCATCGTACCTTTATGCCGAAGCAACTTTTAGTTCAGCAACCGAAAGGCTGGCCGAATTTTCAACGCCTCCTTGTATCGCTTTTCAGATTTATGGACCCCTACTTGAGAAGTGCGGAACTCAGTGACCCGGTAAGCTTGGACCACGATGTCTAGCACCCAGACTCATTTGTCGGTTTAAACTTTTACAGATCAGGCTGCTGTACAAAGGCACTTTACGCGTGTTGCTTGTGCTCCTCCACGACTTCCCAGAGTTCCTCTGCGATTATCATTTCAGCTTCTGCGACGTCATTCCCCCGAGCTGTATTCAAATGCGTAATCTCATACTGAGCGCATTCCCACGAAATATGCGACTGCCAGATCCATTTACTCCAAACTTGAAGGTATTCCGTGCATTGTTGTTGACGTCTTTGTGACAATGGTATTTGCGCAGGTCGATTTGTTGCCGGAAATAAGCCATCCTCCTCGCATACTGTCTGATGTGGAAGCTGCCTTGAAAAGCAAGCAACTCAAGGGTGACGTTGACGAGTATTTGAAGGTGTGTGAGCTTGTTTCGTCAGAGTGCACAATATAACGTGCTCTTCATTTGCAGACGCGCCTGTCACCACCCTTGTTTCTTGTCGATTTGAAGCAGCGGCTGCTATTGTCACAGCACGAATCCGGATTGAGTGGAACGCGGTACAACGTCCCTCTGATAAACTCGCTGGTGCTCTATGTGGGAATGCAGGTATGCGAATGCTACTTACTGCCGTGACGAGGCATTACGCCATTCTTTTTGCAGGCAATCCAACAGCTACAGGCTAAGACCGCCCCTCAAATCGGTGTCCCGACCGCGCCTATCACGCACAGCGCTCCCATGGACATATTCCAGAAGCTGATTGTAGAGCTTGATACCGAGGGCCGCTACTTGTTCCTCAACGCCATCGCCAACCAGCTCCGCTATCCAAACAACCATACGCATTACTTCTCGTGCGTGTTGCTCTACTTGTTCGCCGAAGCCAGCCAGGTAAGCTTTCCTTTTGTGCTCTTTTATGTAGGCTCTAGCTCAATCCTTGCGCTTTGCTTCAAAGCAGGAGATCATCCAAGAGCAAATCACGAGAGTTTTGCTGGAAAGGCTCATCGTCAACCGTCCTCATCCGTGGGGTCTGCTCATCACTTTCATCGAGCTAATCAAGGTATGGGGGAGATCTTTGTCCCTCCTTTCTTCTTTCTCCTTTTCGTTGGAAATATCTCTCACCACGCTCCCTTTATCTCGCGCAGAATCCCCGCTACAACTTTTGGAACCACGCATTCGTGCGATGCGCTCCGGAGATCGACAGGCTGTTTGAATCGGTCGCGAGATCTTGCATGGGACCACCGGCGAAGCCGACGGACGAGGAGATCAACGCGAGCTTGAGCGCCGAGGCGATCAAAGGCTAAACAAACACGCGTGAAGAAACCAAAAAGAAAAAAAGAGGAGGAAGAACAAAAACTAGGAAAAAAAGGAAAGAACGATCGAAGAAAGGAGTGTAAGTAACTCGGCCTCGTTCTTTTTGGTTTTTTTTTTTGCTCTCCCCATTTTCCCTTGTTTTTGTGTACAGCGCGATGTATCATAGAAATTTTTTTTTCCCCCTATCAACAAATTTTCCGTACGGTTCTCGTGTCATAAACGGCCATGCCTGGCGGGTGGACCACACCCGTCCGTACGGTGGGATGGGCGGCCATGAGGCGCCAAACAAGCCTTTGTTTGTACTTCCGGCCGGCCAATGAGAAACGCGCGCTATGCGCGACCTGCCTCTTTCTGGGGAGCAGTGACGGAAGAATCAATGTCTCTTCCCGACAAGCCCCTCCCCTCCAACTGCAACTTCTACCGACAAGGTAACCAGTGGTAAAAACAACGACCGTATTACCGCCATTGATATTTTACCAACGAGATTTTTGTTTTCTACTTTTCTACTTTTACCCCGCCGTCAGTGTGACACTAGAAACCCACTGTAAAGGTGCTGCGAGGGCAGCTCCACATTTGGCTGATATCTTCGTATCATATTTCCATTCTCTTCTCTCTTTTTCTCTCCTCTTTTTGGAGAGAACGTTATCTCTCTCTCCATTCCACTCCACTTCCTCTCCAATTCCCATGGGATGCAAGCGGCGGAGGATGGAATCGCGCGAATCTTTGCAGAGCACGGTGGTGGAGGAGCAATCCAGAGGCTCGGTGGTGGTGGTGGCGGCGGAGGAGGAGCGGAGCAATGGCGGCGAGGAGGCGGAGGAGTCGGGGTGGACGACTTACTTGGATCAGCAGCCATTGTCATTGTCTCCTCGAGTCCAAGAACCACAAGCTCGAAGGCCGCAAAAGAGATCGCTCGCTCGCCAGGATTCCACGCTCTCGGTGCTTTCGGACGCCTCCTCGGGGCCACTCACGGATCATCGATCGCAAGAACAAGTAAGAGCAAGTTGCTTTTTTTTTTCCTCGTTTTTCTGGCATTTATTTGCTTCATCACAGGCTGGAGAGAACATACTCAAGTCATTATTTAACGAAGACAACGAATCAGAGATTGACAATGTAAGTTATTCCTTTGTGGTTTCAAGATGGAAGAACCATTGTTTTATCTATTTTCGTCCTCACTTCCATTTCTTTCATTTTTTTTGTGTCTCAAAAAATTTTAAGGAGCTTTCGAGGCCATTGAAAGGCAACTCCGTGTTCTTCGGCGATTGATACCAGACGGAAACAAGGTAGGCGAGATCAAAAAAAATCTCATAGCCAAAAAATCTCTCTCTTGTTTAGTTTCACAACGAAGAAATGTTGGACAAAGCGATCGAATACGTACACTTTTTGCAGAGGAAAATCCAGGTAAACAAATCAATTGCAAACCTCCGCTAGAGATTTGTCCACTCGTCTCGCAGATATTCGAGTCCAAGTGGCGATGCAATTTACAAGAGCAAGGCTTGTGTTTGATCCCAGTCTCAATGCTAAAGCTCGTTTGATTCGTGCCAAAGCCCCCAATCAGAGTTTTGGATTCGCTGCCACGAACGACAGTAGCGTGCACGATTAGAAAATATGATTTGATATTTACATACGTTAGAAAATTTGAGGGAGGAGGCTGGTTCTGCCATCCGCGAATGATCGAAAGTTTGCGGACTTGACCACTGCTCGGCACAGGGGGCAAGTTCTCTCTCTTTCAAACCTGTAACATCAAACAAAAGAGCCTCAGTTCTGTCACATAACGATTCAAACGAGCAAGAAAAAAACAAAAGCCTAGCCCTTACCATTCCGAAACGCAGTCCTCGCAAAATATATGCTTGCACCGGAGAGATATCGGGGAATGCATCTTCTCCTGGCAAATCGCACACATGTCCCCGGCTGCAAGGACCTGCCGATGAAAGAAAACAAAAAAGATACCACGCGTGAAGGCCTTTTCCAGAGTTTCGTTCGTAGAAGATACAAACGACAAACCTCATCCGAACTGGCAGCGCTCCCGTATTGTACTTCGCAACGAGTGACAAGACCCACTGCCCCGATAAACTCTCGTACCTGGAACCACGCACGAGCCTTCAGCCAAAGAAAGAGACAATCCCAAATCTCAAGTCATTTTACCTTCGAGAACACTGAAGTTAACTTGAAAGTGAGGTATAGACCCGTTGTCAGCGAGGAGAACACGTTGCCGTACTCTTTGTTGAGAAAGAACCGGTACCAAACTGGTCCGGGTATCAAAGCTCGGACCAGGAGCAAAAGATACTCCACCGCTGTTAGGAGTTGGCCCTGGAAGAATTGACAGACCTTGAGATTAGAAAAGGTCGAAAATAAAAAAAAGCTGCATGGAAGTGGGATAGCTATCCAACCTGTTTGCGAAAATGACGCCCCCTGGTGCTCTTACATGTCAAAAGAAGCACGCACTTGACAGCCATTCCCGCCTGCCGCACCATTACATCTGCGAGCGGAGGGATGACAGTGAGAAAAGAAAGAAATCTAAGCCAGCTCGAAACATACCATTCACCACGATTGTGAAAATGGCCTCCCAAAACTTTGGAATCTTCCGCGGCGGAAGCAGCAGCAATGGCTTCCAAATGGCCTCGCTGGTATACCACGAATACACTAGAACTATATGACATACCAACACGATGCCCACAGCCGCTGTCATAAGTTTCTTCCGTTCACCCTGTGCAACAAAGAAGAAAAACGAAAATGAAAAGCCATTAGGCTCCGATTGCGAGGCAAGATATCAATCTCTTGTACCTTCAGTGCTGTTTGCCTGCGAAGAACAACATTCGCTCTGATCATCACGGCAGTGAGACCAACCGTGACCGCTATACCTTCCAGATGTTGACGAATGAAAACGAAGAGCAAAAGGACCGTAAAAGGCAATACGTTTTCCAACCATCTCGCAAGTGGCTGGAAGTCATATCTTTGCGTAGTGGTAGTCGTCGCAGCGGGCGCCTCCCTGGAACTAGGATCACCACCGGCAACCTCTCCACCAACGTTGAATCGTGGAGAACCACCCAGCTCCTCATCACCACCACCTATCACTAACGAAGTACTCGAGCCATTCTCTCCACTCAATCCTCTAGAAGAGGAAGAAGAAGAGGAAGAGCTCGGCGCTATTCTAATCTCCTCGTCCTCGCCGATAATTCTAATCGCTACCTCGCCGCTGCCACCACCACCCCCACCGCCGACTAATCTATCGCTGCTACCACTACTGCGGACTAAGCTCCCGGAATCCAGCTGCGAGGAGGAGTGAGACCTGCCAGGGATCAATCCGGAGACCTCGAGCACGGTCGACAGCGATCGCGGGAAGAGATTGAGGTTGAAGAGGAATTGCGCGCCATAGCTGCTGGCGCCGCTGGCGCCGGCCACGGCGCTGCTGCTCCGGTGAGCGTCCATACCTAGATCCATGCGAGACCGCGATCGATCGAGCCCTACCTCCACATTCTAGCGCGCATCGCCTGCGTTCTAGGGCTTGGTGATTTTAGGTCACTAGATTTTAGGGCAATCCATATCCTTCCATTGAGGCACCACCTTTAGGACTTTAAAGGCGAATCTTGATAGAAGTACGTATTCCAATGCATTCCATTGTAGCCCTTTAAACGTCAAATCCTTTTTTCCAGTCCCAGGGTACCTTTGTTTCAAAAGGTTTTCTCCACAGCTTTCTTGTCCAGATCTCAGTGGCAATAGCATCTCTCGAATTATAGTGTTTTGTGTGGAAACGCCTTTTCTCCTCTTGTTTTCTAGAGAAGAAAAAATATATGAATTTATTTTCTTTCTTGCACTGCAAAGCTAAAAGGCTGGTCTATAATACAAAAAAACACCAAAAGCAGGGAATCTCCGTGGATCGATCGATTTCAAGGCCCAAAGATTCGCTGCTTTTGCGCCGAGAAAAGAAAGGGGCGCGGGGCATTCATCTCGGCCGATTTGGAAGCTTTTCAAAGGCTTTGAAAATTGCGGCCACGGACGTACACAAGGACACGCGGTCTGGTGGCCGCTTGTGACTTGTGGACCACACCTGGCCACCACCTTTCTCTCGCCACCTTTCTCCGTGTAGTCTTTCCATTCGAATTCTCTCCAAGGCGTTTATTGTGCTCGATCTAGATTCGTCTCGACCTTGACTCTAGAAAAATCAAACTCTTTTCTAACCATAGCCAAATACATCTATCAAAAAGGTGTCGTGGAGAAAATATCAATCTCCCTATCGCAATGCCAGCGCACTTTGAGAGGAAAAAAAAAAGAAAGGGCCTTTGAGCTATCACACAGGTCTCATTCGCGCACCAAAAGGCTGCATGGAGAGAGGAAGAAGAGACAACAAATGGGGCGGATATGCCGGAATCTTCTTCCTTGCAACTTAATACTCAAAAGTTCTCTGTTGGAACTTTTGGGCGGGAGCCGAATCGACGGTGCACTGTCTGCATTTGTTTGTTTAGACGGCTCTGGTGCGCCAGGAGGGAATCAGCCCTGTTAGATACTATACCAATATATTTTACGTATATCTTATGTAGAAATACTCAAAAACACTTAGAAAAACGTAGAATTGTCCTGAGCCCTCATGATGAAATCCACAGACCAGAGCGCAATAATAGAGAAACCAAGTAATAATGTGAAAACTTTATAGAAATAGCAAGTGATCGCATATATGATAAAACTTTGCTTTCCAAGCAGGCACGGTGACAGTATTCGGAGTTTTGAGGGCGAGATAGATCTCGCCAGCCATACTTTACTAATTCCCAGAAATTATTTCTAGAAATAAAATAATTCCAGGAGGTCTATTTCCCTGGATGATCTTTGGCTACACTCAACGTGTGCAATGCAACAGAGCGAGAACAGGGCGCAATCCAATACAGCCTTGAACAGCACAGAAACAAGATCTAACAACACATTTTCATGGCAGGCTTTTCTATCTCTTTGGTCAGTGTGAAACCTTTTTTATTAAAATTTTCTTTCTGCGCGTCTCTCGAAAAATTCCTTTTTTCTCTCTTTGTGGAAAAAGCCGGGAGAGGGACGTGGTTGCAGCCTTTGGCCCAGTGTTGAGGTTGAGGTTGAATGGTGCCATGATGAACCCACCTTCCTGCAAAACACTACAAGCGAGAGGGACAAGCCTGACCTAAAAGTTTATTTTTTGTCGCCAGAGAATATGCCCTGCCACGTCAGTGGCCGCGTGGCGGCCACTCTGGCGCACACCCCGGCCGACGTGTCAAAGCATTGGGTAAAGGTAAAAGGGCTTTCAGAGGAAAGTGAAAGGGAAAGAAGCCCCACCACCTTTTACAAAAGCCTTGGCTTCTTTTCGAATAAAAACAATCATTTATATGCTTTAATAACGCATTGGGTGTATTTCACGAGGGCGGAGCTTGTTTTTCGTTAAATTCACAAAGCGGATTTAGCGTAATAATTTGATTTGATAATTGGCAGGACTTTTTACAATGATGGAGCTACCTTTAGGGCATTATTTGCTCGGCCAAACGAAAAAAGGAAGGGAAGTGCGAAAAAAACAGCCCAACACACCGACAGCCAGAAAGAATGAGGAGAACCAAAAAGCCTTCTCGCGAGGAGAAGTTATAGCTGGAGGGCGACGCTTGGCAGCCGTCCAGGTGGCGCCTCCTGGACCGTCCAACTGGGGGGGGAAAAAGAAAGCGAAAGGTCCAGTCAAAGAGGGCTGTGGTCCGCGGTGGCCCTCCGTTGGATCATTCCGAAGCCCCGCGGCCCTTGTCGTCCATCGATTCGGACATTCCGGGGCGGAACTCCCAGCGCTCGACTGTTGACCGGTACGAAAGGGGGAAAGAAGGGGTACGGCCGGCCCCATGGCTCCCTTGAATTTTCGTGATCTCTCAAAGAGTGTTTTGTTCTCTTGCCAAGCGCGCGAGTGAGTGAGAGCGAGGGGAAAAAGGGGAATTTCGGGATTGTCAATGCGCGCGGCTGGGGCGTAGAATCCTTGGCAGCGGCCGCTAGCTGGAGTAGATGATGCTGCAATTCGCGCTGAAAGAAGAGGCCGGAGCTTGCGATGATGATGCCGCGTTTGTCCTGTTGCTCTAGCGATGGATCTCTAGAAATTGGCCAGACGCCACAGCGCTAGATCGTGAGCGCGCGAGCACACAAGGGATCGATAGCGTCAGGCGGGCTTTGGGCGCGCATTGGAGTCAGGGATTCCACTTGGCGCCCGGGACGAAGATGTCGATGGTTTCCTATGGCGCGCCAAGCGTCGCGCGCGAAGAAAAGTAGCGTCGAGCCGGAAGACCGCTGGATTGCTGCGCTAGAAAAGGCGTGGATCGCAGAGAATTGGAAAGGCGAGCGATCGCAGCGCATGAACCGTCGATTTGAATAGTTAGCTGTTCTTGCAAGAACAAGAGAGAGAGTGAGAGAGAGAGAGAGAGAGAGAGAGAGGAGTCGAGGGAGGGAGGAATTCGATCTCGGGGAGGAGATATGAGAGGAGCTGGGATCGCGACGGTGCAGCAGACGCTCACATCCGACGCAGCGGCGGTGCTCAAGCGCGCGATCGGTGATGCCCAGCGCCGCGGGCACTCCCAGGTCACTCCACTCCACGTCGCGGCCAGCCTCATCGCGTCCCCGGCCGGGATGCTCCAGCACGCTTGCATCCAATCGCACCGCCAGGCGCCGCATCCACTGCATTGCCGCGCGCTGGAGCTGTGCTTCAATGTCGCGCTGGAGCGATTGCCCGCGGCCAACGCCCAGAATTCCTCCTCGGCGGACAGCGGCAATCTCTCCTCCAGCGGCGGACAATCGATCGCGACGCTGTCCAACGCGCTGGTGGCGGCGCTCAAGCGCGCGCAAGCGCACCAGCGCCGCGGATGCCCCGAGCAGCAGCAAGTGCCGCTGCTAGCCGTGAAAGTGGAGATGGAGCAGCTCGTCATCTCGATTCTAGACGATCCGAGCGTGAGCCGGGTGATGCGCGAGGCCGGATTCTCGAGCACCCGCGCGAAGAACAGCCTCGAGGCGGCGCTCCATCGCCACCAGCCCGTACCACCCCTGGCCGAAATTGGCGAGACCTTCCGTACTGGCCTTGGGCCGTGCTCGATCGAGAAGCCCAGCTCCAGCTCCAGGGAGGCCGACGCCGCCATCGCCACGCTCTCCAGGCGGCGCAAGCGCAATCCAGTGCTCCTGGGCGACGATGGAGCCGCGAATTCGGTGCTCAAGGAGCTCGTCTCGCGGATCGAGGGCGATCGCGAGCTGCGCGACGCGAGGATCCTGTTCGTGGAGCGCGGATTTGGGTTCTCCAAGGACGCGACGCAGCGCTCGCTGGTGGAGATCTCGGCGGCGGTGGAGGAGTGTGGGCGAGTGGTGGCGGTGCTGGGGAGCTTGGCGTGGTGCGTGGAGGTGTCGGCTATGGCGAATGCGGTGATGGGCGATCTCGCGAAGATCCTGGACAGGGCCGAGAGTAAGCTCTGGTTGATCGCTACCGCGAGTAGCCAGTGCTACATGAGGTTTCTAGCGCAGTACCCAGCGATGGAGAGTGGGCTGGGATTCCAGCCATTGCCCATCTCCACGAACTCCATTCCATCTATACGTCCAAGGTAAAGTTTAGCGTTTCTTTGATAGAGACTAGCTTTTTCTTTCATGGTCTTCATCTTGTTTGGATTTCCATAGCTTCTTCTATGTTTTGCCACCATAGCTACTTGATCTTCTTTGTTTTGCCATAGCTTCTTTCTTTGATTTGCCATAGCATTTTCTTCTTCTTTTCTCTTTTGTTGTTCCATAGCTTCTTCCTCTTCTTCTTTTTCCATGGTTTTATTGGATATAGCTTCTTCTTCTTTGATTTTCCATAGCTTCTTCTTCATGGTTTCATTGGATGTAGCTTCTTCTTCTTTGTTTTCCATAGCTGCTTCATCTTCTTTGTTTTTCCATGGTTTTATTGGATGTTCTTCTTTGTTTTTCCATAGCGTCTTCTTCTTTGTTTTGCCATGGTTTTATTGGATATAGCTTTTTTCTTCTTCTTCGTTTTGCCATGGTTTTATTGGATATAGCTTTTTTCTTCGTCTTCGTTTTGCCATGGTTTGCTTGGATATATCTTTTCCGCTTTGATTTGGCATGTGTTTCTGCTTTTTCACCAATTTTTTCATATTGTTTTTGAGTGCTACATTTGTCAACTTTCTGTTCCTCCGTGTTTGCGTGCTTTTGTTTTTATTTTTTTTATGTTTTCCATTGGGCATTTTTCCTGTTCCGTGTGTCAACCTTCGAGTTCGTTCTTTTTCTTTTTATCTTATTTGGCTTTTTCTCGTGAATGTTGTCTGGCATGAGCTTTGCTGGTTGATCACTACTCTGACAATTGGAGACAAACTTTTCGCAGGTTTTCACTCGTCGAGAAACACGAACAGTCCTTTCCCCGCTTCCCAAAGATGCTGTTCAAGCTACCAGACGAGCACCATAACTTCGAGGATGTACGCTGCTGCGTCGAGTGCACTGCCAAGCTCGAGCACGAGAGCCTTGTGCTGCTCCAGGAGCGTCAATCCAAGACGGAGTCTGTGCAGTCGAGCTCCGGAGTCGAAGGCCTCCCGTTTTGGATGACGAGAAACAATCACACAATCACCTCCAAGCCGATCACACCACAGGTACGTAAACTAGCCATGAAAAGTTCTTGGCTAACTTGCTGTTTCTCTTGGAAACGCAGGAACCCACGCAACTCACGCGAGAGCTCCGAAAGAAGTGGAGCCGATACTGCCAACTTATGCATTCCAAGAGCTGTCTGCCATCGTTGCCAAACTTGATCGACAGCAACTCTTCCTCGAGCCAGACTTCGAGTCCAAACGGGAAGATCCAGCAAGCTTCCAGGGGCCTCGACTTGAGTACCAAGCCAGGCCTCGCCAGTGCCAAAGCGACGTCCTCCAACTGGCTATCGCTCTCGACAGTTACCGAATTGAGGGACTCAAGCGGTCCGGCTTTGTCTCTCGGACTCGGCAGCTCGGTTGACAAGCCAGCCAAGAACATCACCAAAGCTTCCAAAGTCACGACTGAACTAGCGCTTGGCACACCGAGCGTTCTTCTCGAGTCTCACCACGAGAGGCTCCAGGACACAAGCGGGTGCAAGCAGAGCTCGGTAGACGCGTCCAAGATCAGGAGTGTGGAAATCGACGCAGCGGTGTCTTTCAAGAGCCTACACAAGAAACTCTGCGAGAGAGTCCCGTGGCAAAGTGACGCTGCTGGTAAGATCGCTTCCACGGTTTCCCAGTGTAGAGCCGGGGACCGGAAGCGAGGATCCAACGTGAAAGGCGATGCATGGCTGCTGCTCACGGGGCCGGACGTGATGGGAAAGAGAAAGATGGCGAAGGCTCTTGCGGAGCTCTACAACGATGGCAGGCTGGTTTTGATAAGCTTGAATCCGCGGAGGAGGAGGAGCCGCAAGAGTGCGTGGGAGTCCGAGGCCGAGCAGCAGGATGGCTTGAGCAGCCGGGGTCGGACTGTCACGGACAGGATAGCCGACGCGGTGAAGCTCAATCCATTCTCGGTGTTCTTGCTCGAGGAGTTTGACAAGGCGGACGCTGGTGTCAAGGCGGCGGTGCTCGGCTGCATCGAGCGAGGGAAGATCCAGCACTCGAGCGGGAGAGAAGTGAGCTTTGGAAACACGGTGACTTTGGTGGCGACGAGCGCGGGCGAGGAGGCGAGATCGGGCCTAGAAGAGAGGCTCGAAGGTGTTGAGCCGCGGGAGATCCGAGTGGTGGTGGACGAGCAAGAAGTTACTGCTACTGGCAGCGAGATGGAGGTGGAAGAAACGAAGAACAGCATGGTTTCAGTAATCCAGTTCAAGCAAAGTGGCGAGGAGGAGATAGTTTTGGTTGGCGATGGAGAAGCTGCCATCGTTGGCGAGAAGAGAAAGTCGCGAGTGAGATGGGGGGAGAAGCTGGCGTGCTTGCTCGATCCGAGTGGAACTAGGAGGAGCAAGGTGGCTGGACTAGACTTAAACTTGGGACTCGGGTGTTCCTCCTTGGAGTGTGAAGATGGTGGTGGTCACTTTGATGAGGTGGTTTGCTTCCGGGAGTTTGAGGTGGAGTCCACGGGAGAGATTGTGATGGAGAGATTGGAGAGGATGGCTGGGAGCTATGGAGTTTGTGTGAAGGTGGACGTGAGGGTGGTGGAGATGATGATGGGGTTTGTGTGGGAGGAGATGGATGGGAGCCGGAGGTTTGAGAGGTGGATGGAGCAGTGGATCGAGGGGGTGGTGAAGAGGAGGAGTGGAACTGTGAGGATTGTCGCTGGGGAAGTTTTGGTGGAACAAGGGGAAGCCATAGCCGGGAAGAACAGGAGCTTGCTAGGACAAGTTTGTGAGAGCTTGGAAGCTTGACGAAGTCTCACAAAGCTTGTCATTCTTTAGTTACCTTTTAACCTTTATCCCGACAATTGAAATTTTTAAAGGGTTCAAATTTAATATTTTACAAATTGATAAATTCCTTGAATATCCGGCTTTATTCGGGATTGTGTTTAGACAAATTTAAAGCTCAGAAGAAACAAGTTTTCCAACATCAAAATGAACAAATCCCGTGGATTTTTGCAAATCACTTTCTATTTTGGACTTAATTTTAATTTTAATTTCAAAAAACTCATAGATACTTTCTTGTTTTTTCTTTGTTTTTCTCTCTCTCTCTTTTCTCTTGTCATTTTTTATTTTTTATAAGTGCCTCAATTTTGTCTCTTCGTAGTTAATCAATTTCGTTGTCTTTTTACTGCTAGATTCTTATCGGTTTATAGGATCTATCACCTTTCTAGTTTAACTATAGTTTCCTTGAATATTTCATTTAATAGAAACCTTGCGTGTGTGGTCTAAGTTGCGTGTCCTCGGCTATGGCGCTTGCGAGCGGAGGAATGGCGGCTTTTCAAGCACTTGGGCACGAACGATTCGTCAAGCCAATGCGACTCAAGCGAGGTATGATCATATATCACAGCGGGAAGCTTTTCCAATGATTGTGAATAGGAAGAAGAGTGTGGACGAATGCTTCCAAGCTTGACACTTTGCAGCCGGGCTGGGAAGAAGATAAGTTCTCCAAGTACTCGGGCTATATTTCTGATGTGTCCAACGACGAGACCGAGTTTAAAGAGTATGATCCAGTTCAAATCTCGAGAGCTTTCAAGAATCGCCCTCTTCTTTTGATGCGTCGATTGCTGCAAATCTCTTTCAAAGTTGGAGGCTGGCTTGGAATTCGGTACTTTGATTCGTTACTTGGCCGGTCTGATGCTCTCTTCAAGGTATTGCTTTCTTGTCTTCTTTTTTTTCGATTTTTTTTTTTATAATGTTTAAAACTACTTTTTATTTTTTTAGAAACGCGCTGCTGAGTTTCGGGAGGCACTAGTAGAGCTTGGGCCGGTAAGCTTTCGTTTTTTCCTCTATATGCCATTTGTAACGTTACTTAAACTCTCAGGCTTTTGTAAAGATCGCACAAGCAGTGTCTTCACGTCCAGTAAGCTTCTCAAAGCTCAAAAACTCTCACTAAGTCATCGTTGTCAAAACTTACAGCTCTCGCTTTTTACTTTTTATTTTTATTTTTTTCCGTTTTGGTCTGTTTTTGTTTTTGTTTTTCTGTTTTCTCTTTTCATGAGGAGGTCGTCAGGATTTAATTCCACCAGCGTACATCGCCGAGCTTTCTCTCCTTCAAGACCAGATCGCACCATTCTCGACCAAAGCCGCTTTGAGCATCATCGAGTCGGAGCTCGGTGTTCCAGTTGATGTCTTGTTCTCGGAAATCACTCCCGCGCCTGTTGCAGCAGCATCCCTTGGCCAGGCAAGAAGATTTACTTTTTACTACATCTTATTTTCTCGTCCGCGTGGTTTTAAACGTTCTACTCTGGAAAAATCTCGCAGGTTTATCAAGCTCGACTTCGACCAAGTGGTGACACTGTTGCTGTCAAGGTGCAAAGGCCAGGGGTGAAAGCAACCATATCTTTGGACATTTATATACTTAGAATTTTGGCTGGCTATGCTAGAATTGTTGGAAGATTTAACACAGATTTGCAGGTACTTGATAGTATCGTGATTCTTGTCTTGATCCCGTTCTTCGTTTTCTTGCCTTGCAGGCTGTTGTAGACGAATGGGCCAGTAGTCTCTTTAGAGTGAGTTCATTGCATTGTTTCACGCTTTACTTGCTTTCTTTCTTGTGTTTTTTTTCGAAGGAAATGGACTATGAAGCTGAAGCACGAAATGGAGAGAGATTCAGGTGATTCTCCCTTGGATTTTTCTTTTCGAGCTTCCGTGTAACTTTTGTGTGTTGGCAGGCGTTTGTTTGGAGATATCCCCGATCTTACAATCCCGAAGATGTACAAGGAACTCTCCAGCCAGCGAGTGTTGATCATGGAATGGGTTGAGGTATGCTAACGCTTAAAGTTTATAACGTTAGCTATTTTTTTGGTGCCTGTGTAGGGACAGAAGTTATCAGAAGCCAAAGATCTTCGACTCGTAGAGGTAGAAAGCTTTTTGTTTTAGAGCTTTCTTATGACTCAGGTTTTGGCACAGATTGGAACGTATTGTTCATTGTCACAAATTTTAGAAACAGGTTTTTACCACGCTGATCCTCATCCGGGCAACCTTTTGTGTACGACTGATGGTAAACTAGCTTATATTGGTACGTACTTTCATTCACATTTACTCGGAAAAATTCTTTCATCTGTGTATTTTTTTTTGCTAGGCAGACTTTGGGATGATGGGTGAAATCAAGCAAAATTTTAGAGATGCTATAGTTGAGGCCTCTTTGCACCTTGTAAATCGGGAGTTTGATGCACTGGCAGGAGATATCGTTAATCTCGGGTATGTCTAGAAAGTAATTACCTGGCAAAAACCAACTTAAGTGTTCGTGTTTCGTGTTTAGATTTCTTCCTCCCACAGCTCCATCAGCGGAAGTGAGCCGTGCACTTACAGGTGAGTCACGTTTCTTTTTTTTTTTCAGGATATTTCTTTTCAGTTTTTATTTTCTTACAAAAGGAGTGTTTATTCATCAGGAATTTTTGAAAATGCGGTTAGTAGGGGTGTTACCAATCTCAGCTTTGGAGATCTTTCAGGAAAGCTTGGACAAACTATGTAAGCGTCTATTTTTCTTCTTTATGTCACTGGTCTGTGTTGTCCAGGTTCAAGTTTAAATTCAGGATACCATCATACTTTTCTCTCGTGATTCGAAGGCAAGGAAAACTACATTGAGAATGATTTTTATCTTTGCTTTTTCCAGTTTAACGGTGTTGGAAGGAATAGCCATTACCATCGATCCAAACTACAAGGTTTTGGGACGCTCTTACCCTTGGATAGCTAGGAAAGTTTTGACTGATGATTCGCCAACGCTTAGATCAACTCTTTACAATCTGTTATACAAGGTAGGAACAATCGAACGCATTCATTCAATCATAATATGAGCTGGTTTTTCTCCTCGCAGGATGGTACATTTCAAATCGATCGTCTAGAATCTCTAATACTTGAGGTGCGTTAATGAGAGCATTTTGATTCTGTTTTGGTTACTCTTACCAAGTGATGGTTTACATAGTCTTCAAAAGCCACTGCAAACTGGTCACTAGATCAAGCTACTACCGAGGCACTCCAGAATCGATTGTATACTTTTATACTTAGCGACCAGGTATCGTCAAAGCTTCTTGGGCTTTTCTTGAGATCTTCATATTGCAGGGTGAATACGTGAAAGGTGTCCTTCTCGACGAAGTTGTCAAGGTAAAAACTAGTCTAAAAACAAGAAAGCTGTTTCACTCGGTTTTGCAGGGAATAGATGCTCTAAATCGTTCCACAATTGAGAGATTGATCTCAAGCTTGGGGTTATCAATCCAGGGACTAGTCGACGCCCAAGACGAGGAAAATCTCATCAACCTTGTTCGCATATTGGCCTTGATAACTTCAACTTCTGATAGCTCCTCCAAGCTTCTGGTATTTCTTTTTTATAGCTAAAGATCTAAAATGCGACTATATGAAATTTGCAGAAGTATGATCGCACGAGCACAAGCCTCGTCACGAGAACTCCGGAGTTTCTTTCACTGTTGGGCGACTCGAGCGAGTTTCTAAAATGGTTCTCGGTCCTTGTGAAGGTATCAGATTATTCGTGTAGATACTAGAAAACTTATTCGTGTCCGTTTGCAGCTCCCACTTCCCTTGCAACAAAAGCTATTGTTGGTGCCTTTAGAAGTTACAAACAAGCTTGTTTCTCGCGCAATTGCCAGAGTTTTGAGGAGCTCGCTTTAAATGGGATGCCTCTACTGCTGAGCTCGTTGTTTATTGATTTTCCGCGCTGACAAACGAGTACTATCGGCGCACTGATGTCTTTGTGCACAGTCACTAAGGTACGAGATTGAAAACTGTGAGTTCGTTTGCGATTGAAACTTTGAGCTGTGAATTCTCAGTGAGGAGCTAGAAACTTTCACAAGCAAGCTTTCCGTGCTTGGCTGGTATGCTCGAGAATTCCAAGCTTGTGGAGCACTATGCAGGGACGCATTCTTTCTCGTTGGCCTTGCTCAACAAAAGCTGTATGAATGGCAGAGGGCGGAGGTATGCTTTACTGGAGTGGCAAACAGCTGTTGAAACTTCTAGACTCGGCTCCGCTAGCAAACTTGAGCGTGCTTATTACACGGATTATGGACGTGGGCTTGCTGGATAGGCGCTTGATCACAGAGTTACCCAAATATTGCTTCTTAAGAGGAGATGCATGGCATGATTGCTATGATGCATGAGCGTGTTGGTAGTACTCTAAACAAGATTAATTTGGTGGATTGACTTAAGTTTTCAATTTTTCAGTGATGGCAACATTACCAAAGGAACTTTAAATGCAAAAGCTTTAATGGTTAATAGTTTTGTATTATGCAGGTATCCGATGGTGGAATCTTCTATTGCAAATAGAAAACTACTAATATTTATTATAGATGAGTTTGAAGTTGTTTTTCATTTATGTTTTATCTTTCACTATGAAAAATGCTCTCATGGAACTTTAACTATGAAAAATGCTTTTGTGGAACTTCAACAAGGAAAAATGACATTTAGAGACTACATTGAGAAACTTATTCATTTAATTTTAGCTATGTTTTATATTAAAATGGCCTTCAAAGTGAAGGCAATACTTGCATCATTAAAAGTTATTTGATGTGGTTTGTTGACTTGACAATAACAAGCATAAGCCTCACAAGCATTTGAGGAGTACTTTAGTCAAAAAATTGTTATAACAATTATTATGAATATGAAGATGGAAATAAATATCACAAGTTGAAATTTATAATAACTACTTTAGAAATAAAGGGGTTGAAAAAGTAGATGTTCTTTATGAAGAACTAAAAGTAAAATTATCATTATTATGGCTAGTTTGGACATTATAAATTTATTTATCCATAGATGAAGAATAAATAACAAAGCAAGAAAAATGATTAATCTTTTAATAATAGTAAGTTGAATATTAAGTTGTAGAATTTATGATATTAGGATGATGAGGAGGATTGATTTGGTCAAAGGAAGCAATTATAAATTGTTGATGGTCAACTAAATTATGTGTGGGATAAAATAGAGGCTAAAAACACTTGTGCATCAATTTTAATGTTAGAGAATGTGTTCTATAGCAATCAAATACAAATTTTACTAAACAATTAGAGTGATTACAACTTTGTTTTCGTAAAGTTTGTGAAGAGCATGACTTAATGACATGATTCTTCTATATACAATGAAGGTGTGACTACCTTTACCCAATATTTCAAGAAGTGTTAGATAACAAAACCACATTTGTAAAGTTTTTTTTCTCACAAAAATCCATTGTGTGAAGTTCATTTT